TCAAGATGTATTACAAAGCTACTGTTCTCAAAACTGCCTGGTACTGGCACAATAACAGACAGATAGATCAATGGAATAGAATAGAGAGCCCAGAAATCGGCCCGAATCAATATGCTCAATTAATATTTGACAAAGGAGGCAAGAACATACAATGGAGTCAAGATAGTCTCTTCAATAAATGGTGTTGGGAAAATTGGACAGATACATGCAAGAAAATGAAACTAGACCACCAACTTACACCATACACAAAAATAAACTCTAAATGGATAAAGCACTTGAAACTAAAGAGAAAATGAACAAATGGGACTACATCAAAATAAAAAGCTTCTGCACAGCAAAAGAAACCATCAACAAAACAACGAGAAAACCCACTGCGTGGGAAAACATATTTGCCAATGTCATATCTGATAAGGGCCTAATCTCCAAAATTTATAGGGAACTCATACAACTTAACAAAAGGAAGATAAACAATCCAATGAAAAAATGGGCAAAGGATCTAAATCAGCCGTGGGCAAACTACGGCCCTTGGGCCGGACCCGGTCCGTTTGAAATGAATAAAACTAAAAAAAAAAAAAAAGGACCGTACCCTTTTATGTAATGATGTTTACTTTGAATTTATATTAGTTCACACAAACACTCCATCCATGCTTTTGTTCCGGCCCTCCGGTCCAGTTTAAGAACCCACTGTGGCTCTCGAGTCAAAAAGTTTGCCCATCCCTGAATTCTAAATAGACACCTTTCAAAAGAGGACATTCAGAAAGCCAAGAGACATATGAAAACTTGCTCAAAGTCACTAATCATCTGAGAGATGCAAATCAAAACAACAATGAGGTACCATCTCACACCTGTCAGGCTGGCTATCATCAACAAATCAACAAATGACAAGTGCTGGAGAGGATGTGGAGAAAAAGGAACACTCGTGCACTGCTGGTGGGAATGCAGACTGGTGCAGCCACTATGGAAGACAGTATGGAGTTTCCTCAAAAAACTAAAAATGGAACTCCAATTTGACCCTGTAATCCCACTTCTAGGAATATATCCCAAGAAACCAGAAACACCAATCAGAAAGGATATATGCACCCCTATGTTCATAGCAGCACAATTCACCATAGCTAAGATCTGGAAACAGCCTAAGTGCCCATCAGTAGATGAATGGATTAGAAAACTGTGGTACATCTACAGAATGAAATACTACGCTGCTGTAAAAAAGAAGGAACTCTTACCATTTGCAACGGCATGGATGGAACTGGAGAGCATTATGCTAAGTGAAATAAGCCAGTCAATGAAGGAATAATACCACATGATCTCACTCATTCATGGATAATAAAGATCATTATAAACTTATGAACAATAATAGATACAGAGGCAGAGCTGCCTCAAACAGATTGTCAAACTGCAGTGGGAAGGCCGGGGAGGGTTGGGGAGCAGGAGGGAGGGGGGTAAGTGATCAACCGAAGGACTTGTATGCATGCATATAAGCATAACCAATGGACATAAGACACTGGGGGGTAGGGGAAGCCAGGGGATTGTCAAGGGCGGGGAAAAAAAGGAGACATATGTAATACTCTTTGTAATACTTTAAGCAATAAGACAAAAGTAAATAAATAAATAAATAAATAAAATTTAAAAAAATAAAAAAAACAATATATATAAGTCACAGCCACAGAAGTAAGCAGTGTTGTTTCCATCATATGAACAGTCTGTGGTTGGACTCTCATTTCCAATCACCATTAACAAAAAGACCTGCATAGTTGTTATAGGCTTGTGTGCAATAATGTCCATTTTATCCAGATGAAATTAAAGTGGAGAGATACCATAAAAACACATAAGCCTTGCCCAGTCAGTGTGGCTCAGTGGTTGAGTATTCACCCATGAACCAAGAGGTCACCAGTTCAAATCCGGTCAGGGTACATGCCCATGCTTCAGGTTTGATCCCCAGTAGGGGGCGTACAAGGGGCAGCATATAGATGTTTCTGTCTCAGGGATGTTTATCTCTCTATCCCCCTCCTTTACCCACCCTCTCAAATCAATAAAATTATTTAAATATATATATAACCCTTAATTCATTTAAGCATAAATACTTTGGGGGATTTTTTTTTAATGAAAATCCTATCAAAACATATTATGCACTAAGTATAAAGAACATAAAATGTGCTCTGGTGCCCTAGTCGGTTTGGTTCAGTGGATAGAGCGTCGGCCTGTGGACGAAGGGTCTCAGGCTCGAATCCGGTCAAAGGCACATGCCCAGGTTGCAGGCTCGATCCCCAGTGTGGGGTGTGCAGGAGGCAGCCAATCAATGATTGTCTCTCATCATTAGTGTTTCTATCTTTCACTCTCTCTCCCTTTCTCTCTGAAATCAAAAAAAAATATATATATATATATATTTTTAAATGTGCTCTGGTGAATCACTATGAACCTCAGTAAAAATGCTGCCCTGTGATGCAGTGACCCAATAAAGCATGGAAGGCTGTCAGCAGGGCTTGGTAGCTCTGCCTTTTAAGCAGTTAAATATGTTTATTATCAATTTTTAGGTCCCCTTTCTCCCCAAAGATTCAGAGTCAAATTTCTTAGTCTCTCCCTTTTTACTGTTCTACAGCACACATTCTTATCCCCTTTCTAATTTTTTTTTCTAACCTACTAAGGTTGAGGAAAAGTTAATAGAACTTATTGGAAGTAAACATGAAGTAAGAGCAGCCAGGCTTTAAGGAAAGGTCCGAGGGCTTTGCTAGAAGGAAAGTGTGTGAACTTTCATGTACTAGCTTTGTAACATTCTGTAAACTGTCCATAAACATTTTTTGTTCACTTCCCAGATGTTTGCTGTTTGAAATGGATGGATTAGTGATGTAAGAATGTGGGAGCCGAAACCGGTTTGGCTCAGTGGATAGAGCGTCGGCCTGTGGACTGAAAGGTCCCAGGTTCGATTCTGGTCAAGGGCATGTACCTGGGTTGCGGGCATATCCCCAGTGGGGGATGTGCAGGAGGCAGCTGATCGATGTTTCTCTCTCATCGATGTTTCTAACTCTCTATCTCTCTCCCTTCCTCTCTGTAAAAAATCAATAAAATATATTTAAAAAAAAAAAAAAAGAATGTGGGAAAGGAAATGCTATTATAATATCACTAGAGGCCCGGTGCACAAAAATTTGTGCACTCAGGGGGGTCCCTCAGTCCGGCCTATGCCCTTTTGCAGTCTGGGACCCCTCGGAGGATGTCACCTGCTGGCTTAGGCCTGCTCCCTGGGGGGATTGGGCCCAAGCTGGCAGTCAGACATCCCTCTGGCAGCCCAGCAGCCCTCGGGGGATGTCCACTTGCCAGTGGGGAGCAGACCTAAGCTGCAGTCTGACATCCTTATTTCTCCTGAGGAGGCAGGAGAGGCTCCCGCCACCACCGCTGTGCTGGCAGCCATCAGCCTGGCTTATGGCTGAGCAGAGCTCCCCCTGTGGGAGCGCACTGACCACCAGGGGACAGCTCCTACATTGAGCATCTGCCCCCTGGTGGTCAGTGTGTGTCATAGTGACCAGTCATTCCCAGTCATTCTGCTGTTAAGGTCAGTTTGCATATTACCCTTTTATTATATAGGATAGAGGCCTGGTGCACAGGTGGGGGCCGGCTGGTTTGCCCTGAAGGGTGTCCTGGATCAGGGTGGGGTCCCGCTGGGGTGCCTGGCCAGCCTGGGTGAGGGGCTGATGGTTGTTTGCAGGCTGGCCACAGCCCCTTCAGGGTAGGGGTCCCCGCTGGGGTACCTGGCCAGTCTGGGTGAGGGGCTGAGGGCCATTTTCAGGCTTCCCACACCTCCTTCAGGTGGGGGTCCCTGACCAAGGACCACGGTGACTGAAGCTCCCAGCCTTTCCTTTTTTTGTTTTTTTTTAATTCGCTCCAGCTCTGTGGCCATAGAGACTGGAAGCAGGTATCTGGGGTTTATTTACCTTCTATAATTGAAACTTTGTTGCTTTGAGTGGAGCTCAGAGCCGGCCGGGAAGCTTGGCTTTCTCTATCATTGGGGCAACCAAGCCTCCTGCTCGCTCCAGCTCCGTGGACATGGCGGCTGGAAGCAGGTATCTGAGGTTTATTTACCTTCTATAATTGAAACTTTGTTGCCTTGAGAGGAGGCAGCAGCTGGCCGGAAAGCTTGGCTTCCTCCATCATTGGGGCAACCAAGCCTCCTGCTTGCTACAGCTCCATGACTGCTGGCTGCCATCTTGGTTGGGTTAATTTGCATATAGTCGCTCTGATTTGGCTGGTGGGCATGGCTTAAGGTATGGTCAATTTGCATGTTTGTCTATTATTAGGTAAGATAATGCTAAAAAATCTAGAAGAACCACAGGTCATTCTTTAAGAAGACTGAAAAGATGTCCAATATCTATTGTTTTTAAAGAACTTAGTCTTGCACCCCTATGTTCACTGCAGTGCAATTTACAATAGCCAAGATCTGGAAGCAGCTCAAGCACAATCAGTAGATGAGTGGATAAAAAAGCTGTGGTAAATTTACATATGGAATACTACTCAGCTGTATAAAAGAATGAAATCTTACCCTTTGCGACACCATGGATGGACCTGGAGAGTATTATGTCAAGTGAAATAAGCCAGTCAGAGAAAGACAAATATCATATGATTTCACTAATATGTGGAATCTAATGAACAAGATAAACTAACAAACAAAAGAGAAACAGATAGAAAACAGACTGACAGCTGTCAGAGGGAATGGAGGTTGTGGGGCTAAAAAGGTGAAAGGATTAAGAAAAAAACAAAACTCATAGACACAGACAACAGGGGGGTAAAAGGGTGGGGAAGGTAGAAAAGGGTAAAGAGAGGATAAATAGTGATGGAAGGAGACTTGATTTTGGGTACTGAACACACAATACAACATACAGATGATGTATTATAGAACTGTACACCTGAAACCTATACAATTTTATTAATCAATGTCACCCAAAAAAGTCAATAAAAAGTTAAAAAAAAAACTTAGTCAAATTTTATACAAGTAATCTAAAAACTGATATTACCTCGTTCTTTCACAATGTTCCCATTGTAGAACTGATCTCTCCATACTTCATCATCACTTACAACTAGACTGGAACATAAGAGAATCAAACAATTAAAGTTACACTTTAACTGCAAGCAAGCTATCAAGAAGCACCTAAAGCCCTAGCTGGTTCTGCTCAATGGTTAGAGCATCAGTCATAGACTGAAGGGCTACGGGTTCTATTTTTTTTTTAAATATATTTCTTTATTGGTTTCAGAGAGGAAGGGAGATGGAGAGAGAGATAGAAACATCAATGATGAGAGAGAATCATTGATTGGCTGCCTCCTGCACGCACCCCACTGGAGATTGAGTCCGCAACCCAGGCATGTGCCCTTGGCCGGAATCGAACCTGGGACCCTTCAGTCCGCAGGCCGACGCTCTATCCACTGAGCCAAGCCGGCTAGGGCCTACAGGTTCTATTGTGGACAAGGGCACATACCTCAGTTGCAAGCTCAATGGCTCAATCCCCGGCCGTGGTCAGGGCACATGCAGGAGGCAACTAGTCGAGGTGTCTCTCTCACATCTATGTTTCTCTCTCTCTGTCTCTCCCCCTCCCTTCCACTCTCTCTAAAAATCAATGGTTACTGGCACAAGAACAGGCAGATAAATCAATGGAACAGAAAAGAGAACCCAGAAATTTACCCAAACCACTATGCTCAATTAATATTTGACAAAGGAGGCAAGAGCACACAATTGAGTCAAGACAGTCTCTTCAATAAATGGTACTGGGAAAATTGGACAGGTACATGCAAAAAAAATGAAACTAGACCACCAACTTACACCATACACAAAAATAAACTCAAAATGGATAAAGGACTTAAATGTAAGTCATGAAACCATAAAAGTCCTAGAAGAAACCATAGGCACCAAAGTCTCAGACATCTCTCATAGCAATATGCTTACTGATACATCTCCTAGGACAATGGTCGGCAAACTTGCGGCTCAGCAAACCGCAGCTCGTGAGCCACATGTTGCTCTTTGGCCCCTTGAGTATGGCGGTATTTTGTGGAAAACTCAAACTCAAGGGGCCAAAGAGCCGCATGTGGCTCACGAGCTGCGGTTTGCCGACCACAGTGCTAGGACAATGGAAACTAAGGAGAAAATAAACAAATGGGACTACATCAAAATAAAAAGTGTCTGCACTGCATAAGGAACCATCAACAAAACAACAAGAAAACCCACTACATGGGAGAACATATCTGCCAATGATACATTGGATAAGAGGTTAATCTCCAAAATATATAAGGAACTAATACAACTTAACAAAAGGAAGACAAACAATCCAATTAAAAAATGGGCAAAGGACCTAAATAGACTCTTACCCAAAGTGGACATACAGAAAGCCAAGAGACATATGAAAAAATGCTCAAAGTCACTAATCATCCGAGAGATACAAATCAAAAAGACAATGAGATATCACCTCACACTAGTCAGAATGGCTAGCATCAACAAATCAACAAACAACAAATATTGGTGAGGTTGTGGAGAAAAGGGAACCCTAGTACACTGCTGGCAATGCAGACTGATGCAGCCATTATGTAAAACAGAATGGAGTTTCCTCAAAAAATTAAAAATGGAACTCCCATTTGACCCAGTAATCCCACCCACTTCTAGGATTATACCCTAGGAAACCCAAAACACTCATCAGAAAGAATATATGCACCCCTAGGTTCATAGCAGTGCAATTACAATAGCTAAGATTTGGAAATAGCCTAAGTGCCCATCAGTAGATGAGTGGATTAAAAAGCTGTGGTATAAAAATAAATAAAATGAAGGATAAAAATCATATGATAATACCAATTGATGCAGAGAAAGCATTTAAAAAAAAAAAAAAAAAAAAAGCTGTGGTATGCCCTAGCTGGTTTGGCTCAGTGGATAGAGCATCGGACTGTGGATTGAAGGATCCTGGGTTTGATTCCAGTCAAGGGCACATACCCGGGTTGTGGGCTTGATCCCCAGTAGGGGGTGTGCAGGAGGCAGCCAATTAATGATTCTCTCTCATCATTGATGTTTCTATCTCTCTACCTTCCTCTCTGAAATCAAAAAATTATTTTTTTAAAAAAAAGCTGTGGTAAATTTACACCATGGAATACTACGTGGCAATAAAAAAGAAAGAACTCTCACCATTTGCAACAACATGGATGGACCTGGAGAGTATTATGCTAAGCAAAATAAGCCAGTCAGAGAAAGATAAGTATCACATGATCTCACTCATATGTGGACTCTAATGAATCAAATAAACTAATGATCAAAAATAGCCCCAGAGACATAGAAGCATGAACAAACTGTTGAACCTCAGAGGGAAGGAAGAGGAGGGTGGGTGGGAAGAGATCAACCAATGAACTTGTATGCATATATGCATAACCGGGGGACACAGACAAAAGGGTGGTGATGGTCTGCGGGAGGGAGGGCAGGGATGGGAGCAGGCTGGAAGAGATTAATGGGGGAATAAGGAGGACCTATGTAATACATTCAACAATAAAGATTTTAAATATAAATAAATAAATAAAATACATAAATTGAAAAAAATCAATGGGAAAAAAATATCCTCAGGTGAGGATTAACAACAAACAAAGAAGCACCGAAAACTGCCCTGGCTGGTGTTTCTCAGCCCACACACCGAAGGGTCTAGGGCAGGGGTGGGCAACCCCTGGCACGCGTGCCACATATGGCACGCCAGTAACTTTTGCTGGCACGTGAAACCCTCTCTTATAATCTTCCATTTACAGTTGTGAATCTTTGTTCTCAGTGATGAATTTTGTTAAGTCTCATAATAGGAGTAGCCTGATGGATGAAAGTAGTAGCTCGTGCATATCTCTGAGGGTCACGAAATATAAACCTGATGTAAAATCTCTGTCATCAGTGATGCAGCAGCAAAAGTCCCACTGATAATATCAAACAGAGTCATAAAGTTTTCTGTCGGACTATCAGTGTACATGTATACATTTAAAAATAAATGTATTTTTCATAATCATATACTGTGTTTTTGTCGCTTGAGTGAATATTATTATTTCTTCAAGGTTCTTCACATATGTACACCTTAAGAGATATCAAGTAGGCGTAACATGTTCTCAAAAAATTAGGGTTGGCACGCAGAAGAATTTTGAGTCAGAGATTTTGCTGGTTTTGGCACGCACTCACAAAAAGGTTGCCCACCCCTGGTCTAGGGTTTGATTTTGAGTCAAAGAAATGTACCTAGGTTTCAGGTTTGATCCCCACCCCATCAGGGCACGTTCAGGAAGCACATGTCTCTCTCACATCGATGTTTCTCTGTTTTTCTCTCTCTCTCTTTCTCTCCCCTCCCTCCTTCCTTTCCCCTCTCTCTAAAAATCAATGGGGAAAATATCCTCTGGTGAGGATTAACAAAAAAATAACAACACCTAAAACTATAAAAAACTATAAGCAGAAGCTTATCTGCTCAATTTACTAATGTTTCTGGAAATAACATGATCCAGTCCTGAAAGTTAGCTCCAACGAAAGAGGAGTTACCTTGCAGCTCTGCTGGTTGGGATTCCAAGATAGTACATAGCCTCACTACACAAAAATTCTCTCACTGAGGAACGAAGTACAGCTCTGCCATCACCATTTCTACAGGAAATAAGATTAAAGATTTTCAACGATAAAGACAACATCATTTTAATTTAGTTAAATAAAAAAAAAATGAAAAAAACTGTACCGGGAGTATGGGGTCTTTCCTGAGCCTTTTAATTGAAGTTCCCACTTTTCACCCAGCCTTCAAAAAACATGTAAGTATTAGAAAATTCATGTAAATATTTAGCAGAAAAGCTATTCAAGAAAACATGTGGTACCTGTTCATGTAAGTTCCAATAAGATGGGCTCTTCCATCCCCAAGCTGATCTGCCCATATTCCAAACTAAAAGGGAAAAAGGAAAATCAGTCATGTTTATTAATCCCTATGAGCTTTTACAGTAATTTTATAGCCAAGGCTATTTCATCAAAATTGAGAGTGAGCTCTCGGGCCGACATCTTGGTGAGGCAGCAGCGGTGCCCTGCCCTCCCAGTCTCCCAATGCCACCCAAGGACGGCAAGAAGAAGAAAGATGCTGGAAAGTCAGCCAAGAAAGACAAAGACCACGTGAAGAAGTCGGGGGTGGGGAGGGGGGGTAAAGGGGGTGGGGCGGGCCAAATAGAAGAAGTGGTCCAAAGGCAAAGTTTGGGACAAGCTCAATAACCTGGTCTTGTGTGACAAACTCTGTAAGGAAGTTCCCAATGACAAGCTCATTACCCCAGCTGTGGTCTCGGAGAGACTGAAGAGTCGTGGCTCTTTGAGCAGGGCAGCCCTTCAGGGGCTCCTTAGTAAAGGCCTTATTAAACCAGCCTCCAGGCACAGAGCTCAGGTAATTTACACCAGAGACACCAGCTGAGGATGGGGATGCCCCGGCTGCTGGAGAAGATGCATGAGCAATAGGTCTCGTGGGCTGTATATTTTGAAAAATAAAACTTTGTCTGTAAAGTGGGATAACCCTTGTTGTAAGAATTATCACTAATACAGGGATTGGCAAAAGTAGGTTTACAATTGTTTGTATGGAAAATAATACAACAATAAATAATAATACAAGAATAAACTCTGTGGGCAGGGAGAATGGGGGGATGAGGACACATATGGAATACCTTAATCAATAAAGAAAATTTAAAAATAAATAAAAACAAAACAAAAAAAGAATAAACTCTCTTTTACATACAATTGTAAACTTTTACCCATTCTTGTATATGCAAAATGCCACGTACTAAGTCCGACATTTTCAAGTGTTCAAAAGATGCTAATTATTATTGCCAACAATTATTGCTAATTCAGATGTCAGTCTATTCTCCACATAGAAGTTACTTCCACCAGAAAACTTTTTCTAAATTTCTGGGACTAGGAGGGAGGTCCGATAAATTGCCATAACTCCTATACTTACCCATATCACAACTTAATGTTATTGGAATTTGTTTAGTTTTCTATCCCTTCCCCCAAAGTATTAGCAATTTGAGCAAAGGGGACAAGTCTTATTCACCATCATAGCTCCTGGCATTTAAAAGGAGTTCTATAAACAGCTGTGGAATATTTAAACAATATTTACAGTTCTGGAAGAAAAAATGTGTCCAGTAATTCAATTTTTTATCTTAACTAGGACTGGGCCACCATTAATTAATTTTAGCTGTGGAATATGTCTAAAAGCACAGGTATGAGAGGTGCTCTCAGCATATTCTGGAAAGTTCTAAAGTTGCCAATATGTTAGGTATATCCCACACCATGAAAGGTAAGCAGAAAGAATGGTGAACCCAAAGCTGGGAGTGAAATCGGGAAACAGGAAGGTAGTTCTCCATTACTAAAAGAGAAAGCATTGCCCTGGCTGACATAGTTCAGTGGGTTGGACATCATCACATGCATAGAAAAGCTGCGGGGTTCGATTCCAGGTCAGGGTACATGCCAGGGTTTCGGGCTTGATCCCCAGTGGGGGGCATGCAAGAGGCAGCTGATTGATACTTCATTCTCACATTGATGCTTTTCTCTCTTTCTCTCTCTCTCTCTCTCTCTCTCTCTCTCTCTCTCTCTCTCTCAAAATCAATAAAAATACGCTTTTAAAAAAGAGAGAAAGCATTTACTGGACTTTAAGTTCAAAATGGCAAAGCCATACTTATAAACAAATATTTATAATTTCAAATCAGGGAGGAGTAGCAAGAGGAGAAATATGAAATTGATAAAAGTATAGTCTAATTTACTACCCAAAACAGTACCAAAAAAAGTATAGCTTAACAACACTCTGCAGGGCTTAAGGTTTGCATTTGTACTTTAACAGCACATGCGAGTACTGGTATAAATGCTGATAAATTTACCCTATATGGAAATGACTTTTTGAACCATGGGAAAAACTGTAAGGATCATCTAGTCCAGAAGATTCTAAACTGAGAAACATAGTTCAGCAAAATGTTGAGAGTTATTTCTTAAAAACAAAGCAATCACAGACTCCTGTAGTCAAATATGTTTGGAAAACGGGTGAGTCAAATAAAATTAAGCAGATTTCTTTCCCAGGGCACTTCTCACAACTGCTGCAAGGATTTTGGTCAACCCTGGCACATTACTGATCAGGACACTGAGGTTCATGTTTGTTCTAGATGACCCATTGAGTCCTTTTCAATTCTAATGGTCATGCCACTTTGCTTCTTAGCTTCTCTGTTAATTTTCCTTCTTAGGTAGTAGAAAAATGGAAGCAATAAAAATCTTAGAGGAATTAACTACCACAGCAAACAGAGCTTGATACTAATTATAAAAATAGCTATCATGAAAGCCCTTTTCATATATTTCCTAACTTAATTCTTACTCCAACTCTATTATACTTTGCTATTTGTCCTAAAAACTATTCCTGAGTAAACCAGCCACCAAGAAAAACAGTGTTAAGTTAATCTTCTCTAGCTTAAAGGAAAGTCACAGCGATTTCAACAACTGGTTCTGTGTTCCTTCTCCTTTCTTTTTTTAATGTGTGTTTATTGATTCCAGAGAGAGGAAGGAAGAGGAAGACAGGGGTAGAAACATCAATGAGAGAGAATCACTGATCGGCTGCCTCCTGCACGCCCCTCACTGGGGATCGATCCTGCAACCCAGGCATGTGTCTTGAATGGGAATGGAACTGTGACTTCCTAGTTCATGGGTTGACGCTCAACCACTGAGCCACACTGGCTGGGCTCCTTCTTCTTTTAAAAAAAGATTATTAGAGACCATACCTGAACTTGCTTCATTTCTAGAAGGTACCTTCCTAATTACTTCAGCATCTATAACAGTGATGGTGAACCTATGACACGCGTGTCAGAGGTGACATGCGAACTCATTTTATTGGTTGATTTTTCTTTGTTAAATGGCATTTAAATATATAAAGTAAATATCAAAAATATAAGTCTTTGTTTTACTACGGTTGTAAATATCAAAAAATTTCTATATGTGACATGGCACCAAAGTTAAGTTAGGGTTTTTCAAAAGTGAGGGCTCAAAAGGTTCGCCATCACTGATCTATAACATCCCCAAGTAATCCTGATATAATTTCTAGCAGTTCTAAAACTTTGCTCTACAGCTATCTCAGGAAAGTTAAAATCTATTTGTCCTTCTAAGGCTTTTATTTTGACAAACTGTGCTACCTGACCTGACTTTGCCTAAATCTCTTCACTGAATGAGTCCTGTAGCAATAATTCACAGAAATTCTATACTTGTGCTGGCCCAGTTTTCTAAATTCCATTAAAGAAATTTAGGCTCGAGAAACCAAGATGGCGGCATAAACACCTGAAATTGCTGCCTCGCACAACCACTTCAAAAATACAACTAAAAGACAAACAGACATCATCCGGAACCACAGGAAGGCTGGCTGAGTGGAAATTCTACAACTAGAAAAAAATAGAAAAGCACACTGAGACTCAGAGGAGGTGCGGAAGTAAAGTGCAGAGGTACGGAGGCGCGCGCGTGTGCACAGAAAGGGCTGGCAAATGAGGACACGATTGTCTTTTTCAATCGGGAGGGAGACACAAGCTCCCAACTGCTCTGAACTTCAGTTTTGGAGGAGTCTCAGGGGACCCAGACTAATATGAGGAGAAACTGGACTATCTGGCACCAGGCAGAACTCGAGGGCAGCTTTCTCTTAGAGGTGCTTGCAGTGATTACTGAAGGACACAAATAAAGAAGAGGAAACTGCAGATCTCTCCATAGCTCCTGCTGGGTAGCCTCAGGAAGAGGCTAAATTAGCACCTCCTTAGAGATCCAAGAGCCAGTGTACACAGTGGTCAGAGTGGGACCATCCAGATTACAACTCCTCAGATCCATAAGGGACACACTCAGGGAGCAGACTCAGTGAGCACCAAAGTCCCACTGAAGCAAGTCTTGCCCCAGAAGGGTGTCTCTAGCACAGAAGTTCTCCCACCGTAGACACAGCTGACTCTCACAGCCAATTGGCCTGGAGGTCAATTCCTCCCAGTGATACCTACAACAATCAGGCTTAATTACAACAAGACTGTGCACAAAGCCCACAAAAGGGTGCACCAAGAGTGTCCACCTCCGGTAATTGGAGAGGCTGAGTCACTGGGCCCTATAGGACACCTAGCACACAAAGCCACTCTATCAACACAGGGAAGCAGCCAAAATGGGGAGACAAATAAACAGGTCACAAATGACAGAAATGGAGGAAAGAAAACTATTGAATATAGAATTCAAAACCACAGTTATAGGGTTTTTCAAGAATTTTCTAGAAACCGCCGATAAATTTAGTGAGACCCTCGAGTATATGAAAAAGGACCAACTAGAAATTAAGCATACACTAACTGAAATAAAGAATATTATACAGAGTTCCAACAGCAGACTAGAGGATCCCAAGAATCAAGTCAAAGATTTGGAATACGAAGAAGCAAAAAACACCTAACCGGAAAAGCAAAATGAAAAAAGAATCCAAAAATATGAAGATAGTGTAAGGAGCCTCTGGGACAACTTCAAGCATACCAACATCCGAATTATGGGGGTGCCAGAAGATGAGATAGACCAAGATATTGAAAACCTATTTGAAGAAATAATGACAGAAAACTTCCCCTATCCGGTGAAAGAAATAGACTTACAAGTCCAGGAAGCACAGAGAACCCCAAGCAAGAGGAATCCAAAGAGGACCACACCAAGACACATCATAATTAAAATGCCAAGAGCAAAAGACAAAGAGAGAATCTTAAAAGCAGCAAGAGAAAAACAGTTAGTCACCTACAAGTGAGTACCCATAAGACTGTCAGCTGATTTCTCAACAGAAACTATGCAGGCCAGAAGGGAGTGGTAAGAGATATTCAAAGTGATGAATACCAAGAACCTACAACCAAGACTACTTTACCCAGCGAAGCTATCATTCAGAATTTTAGGTCAGATAAAGAGCTTCACAGACAAGGAAAAGCTAAAGGAGTTCATCACCACCAAACCAGTATTATATGAAATGCTGAAAGGTATCCTTTAAGAAAAGGAAGAAGAAGAAAAAGGTAAAGATAAAAATTATGAACAACAAATACTTATCTATCAACAAGTGAATCTAAAAATCAAGTGAATAAATAATATGATGAACAGAATAAACTGGTGAACATAATAGAATCAGGAGCATAGGTAGGGAGTAGACTGACAATTCTCGGGGGAAAAGGGGTGTGGGGGTGCAGGAAGAGACTGGACAAAAATTGTACACCTATGGATGTGGGGGGAGGGGTAAGGGCAGAGTGTGGAGTGGGAACTGGGTGGAGGGGAGCTATGGGGGGGGAGAGGAACAATTATAATAATCTGAATAAAGATTTAATGAAAAAAAAGAAATTTAGGCTCTAGCTTTATCACAGCAAGAAATCACATCAGTTAATCTAAAAATATCTTATGGTGACAATTCTTTTAGAAATATTTTGTTAATATGCTATTGTTGTGTTGCAGTCCAGAGAAAAACCAAGCAACACATTAGAGAAAAGGAGTTACACTGTTTATTTTACGCCAGCGGACTCAGAGGAATAACTTTCCAAGTCTGAGCAAAGTAACATGCAGGGGGCTTCTCTTTGATATCTTTTCTGGTGTCCTTGTCCCTCAAATATGGATTATGCTTCTGGTCCGTTTCGTGGGCTTTTGCAAGAAGGCCCCAGGTGTTGGGGGTCTCCAGGTCATATCTAATAGTCTGGCCTGGCGCCAGCACTAATAACCCCCACTCCAGGGCTGTGCACTGTTCACAGTTTATGGTCTCTGTGAAATGTGAGCATTTATATAACAGGTTCTGCAGGACCAGTTTCTGGGAAAGAGGCAATGACTTAATTATAGGTTATCAAGACTGTACACTGGGCTTGCTGGCACAGATTCAGATTGCTAGCCTCCCTTCCCCCCCCCCCCCCCTCCAAATCAGGGTTACATTGGAATTAACCTTCTCAATTGGAGAAATTAATGCAAAATAACTTCTTCAAAAATACAACATTTCCACCAACTGTTTATGTTTCCATAAGGAAAGCAATGCATCTGATGCTACTCTTACCTGATGGCCACCATATCTGTGAGCCAATGGAATGGATCCAAATACTATCTTTTTGCCACTTACAAGCTGGATAAAATCATCCGTTTCTGAGACGGATAAATCAAGGTCCAAAATATCTTCTAGAACTTCCTAAGGAATGGAAAAAAAACAAAAAACTCCTTATAAAATCCTTTAATAATTTTTAAGGAAAGAGACTTAATGGAAGAAAGAAAATTAAAAGACTAAACCTCTTCCAAAAATACATTAATATTTTTTCATAAGAGATGTTCCATATGTTCTGATTATTTGGGAAAATTTATTCTATTATAGTTCTAAAAGTTTTATATATTTCTTATGATGTATAAATAATATTTTTCTAGCATGTATTTTTTAAAGAAACTAGAAAAAGTAAATGTCCTATTTTTATCCCAAATTCATTTATATCATGAGAGAACAATTTAGAATTTGTTATTAAGACCCATTTCTAAGAACTTAACTCATTTACCTGTACCTTGTAAGACAATTTGAAGATGAACCTGAGTAGAGGCTCTAGGAATAAGTAACAAAAACTGACTTCTAAGAATGACATTCTCCAAGTGTCTGAATTTTAAACACAAAGACTAACAATTTAACTCTGAAAAAATATTAATATATTTTTACACGAAAGTTGTAGTGAGTTAAGTATTTGTATTGTGAAAAAATAAAACCTAACCTTTGAAACTGCCACAAGATGTACTCTTGATTTAAAAGGAGTAGGGAAAGCAATGGAAAAAACACAGTTTTTCACTTTACGAACATAATTTTCTTTAACAGGATCAACTGGCAACACAGCTGATAAAACAAAACAAAACAAAACAAAACCTTCTTAATGTTCTCTTTTGTTGCATTTACAATATTAATATCCCTTTAAAAGGCTATGGTCTTAAAGAAAATCAACTTAAAACACTATTTTCTTTATACTTTATTACTTAAAGGTTATTTTATAATTTTCAACTATTATCTAGCCAAAATTCATATAGTTACAATAGTATGTGGAACTGTCCAAGAAGATAGGAGACGAAAAAATGTTTAAAACAAGACATATATCTGTCTTCAAAGATTTTCACTCATGGTAAATCAATAGGATGTGCAATATTTACAAATAAAAATATACAAATAAAATGGAGGTGAGATCATTACAGTATTATAATTATAGTATTAGGCAATTCAATGGCATCCGATCAAAACATATTAGGCATTTAATCACATTCTTTTTGCCTTTCAGAAAAATCAATTAAAATATGTGGATACTTTACTAAAGGTACAAAACCACTTCCAATTCCACCAGAAAATTCAAAACTTTTGATAACATACCTGTTCCCAAGGCTGGAAGTTTAAACTGCCTTTGAGATAAAGTATGCTTCATGAAGTCCAGGCACTAAAGCACATATGCGTTATTTTAAAAACTGTCGAGGATGCCGAAACCGGTTTGGCTCAGTGGATAGAGCATCGGCCTGCGGACTGAAGGGTCCCGGGTTCGATTCCAGTCAAGGGCATGTGCCTGGGTTGCGGGCACATCCCCAGTGGGAGATGTGCAGGAGGCAGCTGATCGATGTTTCTCTCTCATCAATGTTTCTAACTCTCTATCCCTCTCCCTTCCTCTCTGTAAGAAATCAATAAAATATATTTAAAAAAAAAAAAAAAAAAGATTGGAAAATCTTAAAAAAAAAAAAAACTGTCGAGGAGAGAGCTCTGCACAGGCTTTAGATCTACTGAACATACTTACTTTTAAGTAAAATTCTTAAAAAAACTTAATTATAAATCTTAATTCTAATCGTTCCCTAACCCAAAGCAATTTAAAAAATAGAAAATGTAGGTGTATTACTAAAACTATAAGACAAAGGAACACAAAAGCCTATGTCACTGATTAGAAGTTATGTTGTCAACATGTCAATGTCATAAATCATTTAATGGTCCTGGGCTGTGTTGGTGTCAGCCCGCGCACCGAAGGGCGCTTTCGGAAGTAACCCATTGATATGTCTCAGATTGAAGTATCTCTTCCTCTCCTTCCCTCCCTTCCACTCTTTCTAAAAATCAATGGGAAAACTCAACAGTATATTTTCTTCTCTTTTAGGAAAGCCTCTGTGTGGAAATAGAGTGTTAGATAAATGACATTTTAGTAGAGCATGGGCAGTATATAATTTCCACTAGTACTTACAATTTTGCACTGATTCACATTTTGGCAAGGCAGCTGATCATTGACTACCTTGTGATCATTGGCCATGGGACAAAAAAGGCTAATGCTTCAGCAGACCCAACCCTCACCCTTGTTACAGTTTAACCAACTAATCAGTCATAGACTAAAAATACCACCAAAAACTCCAATGTTAACCTTTTTTTTTTTAACATTTCAGAGAAATCAGTAATTCCAAAATTCTTTAGAATTCAATTTTGCCTAAGAATATGAAATCCCCTAAAGCTGCTAGCCTTTATGTGCAACTGTTTGAAATCTCTTCTCTCAGTAAATGTGCTTTTAACAGTTACCTTGATAATTAATTGAGCATGTCCTATATCCTCAGGATGATGTACTTTTATGCAGTACTATGAACCAAGACATGGTTAATAAGTATATAATATTATGTATATAATCTGTAAAACCTGGTCCTACCATGTTTTGAACAGTATCAGCACCACAGAAAGACAATGTCTCAATGTGTAGCCAAGTCCCCAACATAGAAATAACTTTGAAAATGCTTTAAATATACTTATTCCATTTTATCAGTCAATACTGGTTGTTTCATTTGTATAAGTGCAGTCAGAAAGGTCATTTTGAGCTTATGCAAAGGGGAGTTGTTTGCAGTTACTTGCACAGTTCAGACTATGCTTTTAACTTCCTAGACTCATGCTTGGCCCAATTGGGTCAAAGGAACTATTAGTTGGTATTTTACATGCCCTAATGGTGGGTTATTTTTCTTTTATTGGTGAGTTATTGTTCATCAGTTTAGTTATACTATGGTGTTAGAAGCCTTCATGAATTTCATCTGCCCTCCCTAGTTACCCTTGTCGTATTACATCTTTTTAAGAACCAGGTATTTTGTTTTAATCTGGGGAAACCATTTCTAAATAAAAATGACCTGACAGAATTGTGTTGTGCTCTATCTATCAACTATGTGAGCTTGCATAAGACACTCAATTCCTCTATCTGTTTCCTGTAAAAAAAAGGGCAAATGATGGTATCTAAATAATACAATTGTTGCAAGTACAAGTGTTTATTGCTATACTTACTTTGGCAAATTCTACCTGTTGGATATTTAATATATAAAGCTTTATGAAGATACTAATAAGTCACAGGTGTGTATTAACAACCTTCATTTGTAAAGCACCAGAGACCTTTTTTAAAAATAATATTCTTCACGATTGGGGGAGGGGGCTCATAAAATTGGATTGAGAAATTTCTTTATTCTATAATTTTATTCAGTAAAAAACAATATATTTCAAGATAAATATGTGCCAGCTACATGGACACTTACACTGTGATGCAAAAAACCTGGTTTAGAACAAGGGAAAATATCAGAGAATTACAGTTGCCTCTTGGCTGGTCTGTTTCCTCAGAGTGAATTTTTTGAGGACAGACTAAGTTTCTTCCCTAAACCTTACACTTTCTCTCACTGGCTGTGTGGGTTTGTATGCATGTGTTGAATGATCAATTCTATCATGGATTTCTGTTATAAATACACGCTCTCATGACCACGAGAAAGGATCTGGCAATGGAATTAAGAAAAGGTCTTTCTAACCCAGATTTTCAAACTTTTTCATCTCATAGCACACTTAAACTAATTCTACGGCATATGTAATATATATATATATATATACATATATATATATATATTTCCGGTCTGACAAAAAATAAGACATAATTTTGATTTGGCTATTTGGTTGGCTCTTGCCATTTTTTTATTTGACAATCTAAGGGAAAAGAGGTGAGTGCTTCTGACTAAATAGTCAGGAATCGCGTGTTTTAAAAATTCTTGTGGCACACCGGATGAAAATCACTATTCTAACCCATTTCGGGTACTAATCCTGCACATTCTCCATATCCCCTGAGCTGGCTATAAGTAGGTTCAACATTACTCGATATTAAACAATCGCCCACAGCTCAGTGCACCCACACATAGCGCTCACACATCCAGACGCGAGCAAGACGGCTCAACTGTGCCACCGTATACCTATGAGGTTTTCAGAGGAGAGAGTCCAAAAGTCGAGAGACAAAGCTAATCTAGCTTCTGCTTCACAATAGCCCTGCTCCTGGTTTGACTTGTTACTGAGAAGTTGCAAAAGGCGGGCATTTCCTTCCAGGCCAGGTTGCAATAAGGCGCCGATGGCAGCGGCGTGGCAGGTCACACACACGAGAAGCAGCCGCGGAATGTGTAGCCTCCGGCTTAAGCAGCAAAACGGGAACCCGATTCTTGGAGTCATTTTTCCGTCTGAATATGCAGAAGAGAAGTTAGTGACTGGAAGTCTGGCGCACGGCGGCATTTCTGCTAACAGCCGGTCACCCCAAGGTACTGTCTGCTCTGTTGGAGCTACTGACTCCCCGTGAACCCCAGGGAGCGTTCGGGAAAGACGGCTGGCCAGGGAGAGGGTCACGACTAGCTCCTCCCGGACCCTCGATCGGCGGGGGCGCGAAGGGGCCCAGGCGCCGCGTACCCTTCTCCTGCTGCCGCCCCCGAAGGCCGAGCGGTCCCCGTGGCTCAGACGCAGAAAGGCGCCCGAAGCCGTGCGAGGCCGCCGCTGGGGGGCGCTAGCGGCGCTGCCGGGTGGGGTAGGAGAGGGGGGGAAAAGGGAAGGGGAGGAAGAGGAGGCGCCCCGAGCGGGGCTGAAGCTCTTCCTGTGCCGGGTTTCCGGCTCCGGGTCCCGGAGGAGGACCCTCGGCCCGAGGGCGGAGCCGCCGCCCGCCGCGACTTTCAGACTCGAACCATGGCCTCGAGCTGGTGGCGGTGGAGACACGGCTGTTCCTGGAGGCGGGCGGCGCGGACTCCCGGGCCCGGCTCCCCTGGCCTCACGGGCCCTTCCGGGCAGCACCCCGCCGCCGCTGTCCGTGCGCAGGTGAGGCCGCGGAGCGCGCCGGGGCGGGCGCAGAGGTCACATCCCAATGACAGCGGCGCGCAGGAATGAATGGGCGCGAGCCGCACGTGCGCCGCGCTGGGGCTGCGTTGGGGTGGCCCCTGGGCGGGCTGGCGCCAGGCTGGGGCCGGGCCGCAGGGTGGGGCGCGGAGGTGGGCTCCCAGCGTCTGTCTGCCTAAAGCAGGGGCGCGCCGCGCGGAATCGCAGAGCGACCTCCCGGGACGGAGAGAATTTGCGGATTGGGGAGGGAGCAGTGAGGAGCCCGGTCCCCGGGGGGAAAGGCCGGAGGAGTGGTCATAGAGTCTCCTAGGGCACGGTCTAAGTCAAGGCTGGAGATCGTCTACAGCGGTTTCCTTCTGAGTTACACAGCCAGGGCTTCGGGAGAGCAGAACTGAGCCGGGATGTTAGAGCCAAAGGCACTCCGAACCCTCCGAGATACGGAGGATCCCGCGGCCTCGGTAGGCCGAAAAGGTCTTGTGGAGGATGCAGGTCTGATGCTAAGGGTGGACTGGATTTCAGCCGTACGTAGCTGCTTCGGAGGGAGAGCTTACCTGGACCGGGTGCAAGGAGAAAAGCCCCGAGGATGTCAAGTAGAGAAACCTTGGGTCATCTTTAATTTGACCTATGACTTCTTGAAGTAGAGTCACAATCTCAGCACTAACTATGGTTTTGACTCTTTCCCTACTGCCTGTAGACCCAGTCTCATTTTGCTCCCTTTTCAGTCAGTGTAGCTCTTGTAATTTGACACGTTTCAATGGCTCTGAGTCCTTTCTGCACTTTTTAGTGATTTTCAACCCGCCGTGGGCCCATGCTATTGAGCATAACTGCCCAGAATCTATAGGCTCGCTCTCCTTTTTACAGGCTCTCTAGTCACATAGTAGTTGCATGTGTTCACCTCTCATTCCTCGAGGCTTCTTTGTGTGTGTTTTGAATTTAGGACTCTTCTGTTTCAGTCCGATTTGGTACATTTCATATTCCCATGTACCCATCAAACACCATTTACCTATATGAAATAGTGCCAAAGTGAATATCACATCTTATCCAAAATGGGCATTTGGTGAGAGAATAGCAGCTGGGCCAGTAAATATCATCTATACTAATAAAGGGTAATATGCTAATTAGACCGGACGTCTTCCAGATGTCCTTCCAGATAAAGCCATGGTGGTAGGGCCCAGGAAGAGTAGGTTAGGGGTAATCAGGCCAGCAGGGTAGAGCAGTTAGGGTGATCAGGCTGGCAGGGGAGAGCAGTTAGGGCTATTGGGTCAGCAGGCGGGTGAGTGGTTAGAAGCCAGCGGTCCCGGATTGGGAGAGCGATTAGGTCTGTGGGATTGGGCCTAAACCGGCAGTTGGACATCCCCCGAGGGGTTCCAGATTGGAGAGGGTGCAGGCCGGGCTGAGGACACGCCCCCCCCCCCCCTTCGCATGCACGAATTTCATGCACCGGGCCTCTAGTCTACAATAAAGGGAGAATATGGGAATATGGGAAAAGAGCCTCGGGGCCTTGCTGGCATCCATTTTAGTACTGTCCTGGCCAGGCTTTAGAGGTTTCTGGTACCACAGATGAGGACATCATTTGGAGAGATGGATACACCTATCTATGCCACTGGATAGATACTTATTTTCTTTGATGCTCCCCTTTTTTTTAATTCCTCCCCTCCCCCAGCAACTTTCTTAGCAATGGAAAGGGTGCTTTCCTGGAGAGGATATGTCTTAGTGATCACAAGGAGGGACTGTACTGAGAATGCCAATGCCCTGTATTTCTGATTTGTGTGTCCATGGTGTGTTTCATTGTTAATTAATACATTAGCTTTTGGTGTCTGCCTCAAGCTTGTGTTTGGTAAGTTCAGGTCTCTTAAGGCCTGAAAGTCCTTGGGGACAAAGAGCAACAATAATAAAGCCACCTCTAGCTCTCCACCACAGCTCTGCTACTTCCTGGTGTCTGTACATTCTCCCGACTTCTCCGTTGGTAGTGTGAACAATTCTTGTAATCAGATAAAACCAGTGTGCATTAGATGAAGCCAGACCACTTGTTAATATGTCTTTGATTCTTACTCAGCGTTTTCTCTTTAAAAAAAGTAAGTTTATAGAAGGCAAGGTTGACTTTCAGGGAGAGTATGTGATGGAATCAGGGAACAAAACCAGAATTGGACAATTGATTGTTGGTAGTGCTAGTATTAGTACACCTAAGTGACACAGTTCTAGTTTCACAACTCCCTTTCAATACTTTTCAGTAGTCGCCCTTATCCATGGTTTTGTGTTCCAGTTTCAGTTACCTGTGGTCAACCGTGGTCCAAAAATATTAAATAGGAAATTCCAGAAATAAATAATTCCTAAGTTTTAAATTGCACACTGTTCTGAGCAGTTTGATGAATTCTTACCCAGTCCTGCTTTTTTCTACCCAAATGTGAACCATCCCTTTGTGCAGTGTCTCCAGGCTATATACACTACCCTACCCCTTTGTCACTGGGTAGACCTCTCAGTTATCAGACTGTCATGGTATCACAGTGATTGTGTTCAAGTAACCCTTATTTTACTTAAAAATGGTCCCAACATATAAGAGTAGTGTTGCTGGCAATTCAGATATGCCAAAGAGAAGCTGTAAAGTACTTCTTTCATGTAAAAAATATATATATATTATTTTTTTTTTTTAAATGAAAAACATGACATATCTGCGGTTTCAGGTACCCACCAGGGGTCTGGGATGTATCCCCCGCAGATAAGGAGGGCTACTGTAATACTCTTCTGAATGTCTCTAATCCTACTTTGGAACATTGCCCTAAGATAGTCTTAAAGCAGAAAAAGCTTGATTGAATAGGTACTATATTAGATGTATACAGTGTAATAAGCTCAGAGCTTTACTCTCTAAATTTTGAACCAAGATCCATCTTCCAAAGACCATGCTTTTAACAACTGTCACACTGCCTAGGGGTTAAGAGCACTCTGTATTAGCTATGTCATTTTAACCCTTCACCCCAGGTTAAAGGTTAGGTCTCATACTGAATAAATATTATAATAAACTAGGGACCCAGTGCATGAATTTGTGCACCTTGAAAGAAACTGTGGGCCCTGAGGCTGCGGTGGGCATAGAGGCAGGTCTCAGCCCATCCTCTGCACCCCTGCTCAGCCTCTCCCACCACAACCCCCAGTCCCCTGTCTTCTGGCAGCCCGGCTCCTGCCGCCGCTCCCACGCGCTGACGGCATGGAGCTATTGGAGCCAGCGCCAACAGCGAGTGTGAGAGGGGCCAGCGCCGGCAGCAGGCTGCTGCCCCAATCGCCCCTTAGGAGCAGGAGGAGGTGGAGAAGCCCTCAGGGGCGATCAGGGCCAGCAGTGGGTGCAAGCACCTGGTAGAACCATGGCGCTCAGGAACAAAGAATTTGCAGTAACCACCAGAAGCTCACCCCGATGACAGCGACCAGCTCCCTGCCTTGGTCTGGGGTTCCCACTCACCTGCTCCACCATCCCGCCGCGGCCAATGCCCGCCATGTTATGCACTCTGCCACCTGCTGCCAACGCCTGCCATGTCCCACACGCGCCCCCTCGTGGTCAGCACACATCATAGCGATTGGTTGTTTGGTTCTACCGTTTGGTCTATTTGCATATTAGGGTTTTATATATAAAGACTAGAGGCCTGGTGTATGGAATTCATGCACTGGGGGGGGAGGGTGTCCCTCAGCCCAGCCAGCACCCTCTCCAATCTGGGACCCCCTGGGGGATGTCCCACAGGGATCGGGCCTAAACTGGCAGTTGGACATCCCTCTCACAATCCAGGACTGCTGGCTCCCAACCGCTCACCTGCCTGATTGCCCCTAACTGCTTCTGCCTGCCAGCCTGATCACCCCCTAACCACTCCCCTGCCAGCCTGATCGATGGATGCCTAACTGCTCCACTGCTGGCCCGATTGCCCCTAACTGCCCTCCCCTGCCAGCCTGGTCACCCCTAACTGTCCTCCTCTGCAGGCCTGGTCCCCCCCAGCTGCCCAACTCCTACTGGCCCGGTCACCCCCAACTGCCCTCCCCTGCTGGCCCAGTTGCCCCCAACTGCCCTCGCCTGCCAGCCCAGTCGCCCCCAACTACCCTCCCCTGCCGGCCTGGTCACCCCCAACTGCCCTCCCTGCTGGCCTGGTTGCCCCTAACTGCCCTCCCCCGCTGGCCTGGTCGCCCATAACTGCCCTCCCCTGCCGGCCATCTTGTGACCACATAGGGACAGCCATCTTGTGTGAGGGTGTGGTGGTCAATTTGCATATTATCTTTTTATTACATAGGATACTGAATTGATGGGAATTGATTGGGTATAAAGACTGACAAAAGTAGGTTAAATGTCATATCAAAAAAAATTATCCCTTTGTTTTCTTGGGATATTTTAATTGCCTGGGACATCATAAATGTTCTTATTGGCTTAGTGAATGTGTAATGCTATGGTGGAAAGAACTTAGATTATCTTTCTCTGCCCTGCCTTCCTGGAAAAGTCAAACTTTATTGTCTTTTTTTTTTTTTTAATTGATTTTAGAGAGAGGAAGTGAGAAAGAAACGTTGATCAGTTGCCTCCCAAACACACCCCAACTAGGGATCACACCACAACCTGAGTATGTGCCCTGACTGGGAATTGAACCTGCCACCTTCTGATGTACTGAACAACCTTCCAACCAACTGTGTCACACCGGCCAGGGCTTATTGTCTTTTATCTATGTCTAAAGCAAAATATATTCATTAGAGAAAAATCACAAAATATCTATAATAATAAAAGTGTAAAATGCTAATTCGACCGGCCGACCTTCTGGGTGAAGCCGGGGCTGCCAGTGGCCGGAGGTGCAAGCAGCTGGGGGAAGGAAGACCTACTCTTTCACGAATTTTGTGCAAGTCAGGTCTCTAGTAAACAAATAAGGAATTAATGCCCCCCCCCCCAAAAAAAAACAATCTTAATTCTAAAATAACTATTTTTAATACCCTGGTTTATATGCTTTCAAACCCTATCTCCTGTGCAGTGTGTGTGTGTGTGTGTGTGTGTGTGTGTGTGTGTGTGTAAATTTTTAGTGGGATCACATAATATACACAGTACTATAGGGGCTTTTTACTTTTGATATTTCCTTTCCTAGTTCTTTTGGCTGATCAAATAATTAAAATGACATAAAACGTATGAAGAGGAGAAAATAACCAATTACATATGTACATACGGGGTTCCATAAGAATAAGGGGCCAGAAGACCTAAGGAAAAAAGGGAGGGTAGTGGTTTGCAACTTCAGAGGGGATGAATGCAATTCTTATAGAGATGGAAAAGCAACTATTTGACAAATGTTTGCTGGCCATCTTTTTTTTTTTTATTGATTTTTTTTTTTTTTACAGAGAGGAAAGGAGAGAGTTAGAGAGTTAGAAGCATCGATGAAAGAGAAACATCGATCAGCTGCCTCCTGCACACCCCCTACTGGGGATGTGCCCACAACCAAGGTACATGCCCTTGACCAGAATCGAACCTGGGACCCTTCAGTCCGCAAGCTAACGCTCTATCCACTGAGCCAAACCGGTTAGGGCTGCTGGCCATCTTTAACAATGAAACACAGAGAGGACTTTGATCAAATGGGTCTTGCTAAGTGCCCCTCTGTCTATCACACCTAGTTCTTGATAAACCATAAAGTTTGTATTAAATCATACTTATCTGTGATGATAGGGCCCTTCCTGGAGCAGGTCCTCTGTTTAAACTCTTTTATGCAGTTAAGGGAAGGTCAAAGGTTATTCTAGAGTCTTTGATTCTTAAAAAAAAATTAATACCCCAAAGAGGCATATTTTGGGCTGGCAAACTCTGCTTCTCTTCAATATGCAGGCATGTGCCATGGCGATGTACTCTTAGAAATGCATTGTTAGATGATGTTGTATGAACATCACAGAATATACTTAGACAAACCTAGATAGTGTAGCCTACGGTGCTATGTTGTTGTTGTTTTTATATGTGACTGAAGCAGAGAGGTTTGTTTATACCAGCAGCATCACAAACATGTGAGTAATGTGTTGTGCTACGTTGACGGTAGACAACAGGAATTTTTCAGCTCCATTATAATCTCAGGGGACCACCATCAGATATGCAGCCCATCATAGATCAAAATGTGCAGCACATGACCATACTGAATTGCAAACATCTGTATAGGTGGTGCCTGAATTACAATGGTTCGACTTAAGATTTTTTTTAATTTTATAATGGTGCAAAGCCATACATACTCACTAGAAACCAGCTAAGCTATGCGGCTCAGTAGGTTAGGTATATTAAATGCCTTTCAACTTACAATATTTTTAACTTATATTAGTTTATTGAGATGTAACCTTATCGTAAGTCCAAGAGCATCTATATACCAGTTTTTAGACTTGACTTTGCTCAACTGCAAGTTCTCCAATAAAGAAAGTAGTTATGAGGATCAAATGGTGTTTGATGTTATTACTAATATAGTGATTCTTGTGCTAAATTTATCCTTTTTGTCAAAATGCTTTATTCAGCCCTGGCCAGAAAGAGCATCATGCCAATACACCAAGGTTGTGGGTTTGATCCGGCAAGGGCACATACAAGAAGCAACCAATGGATGCATAAATAAGTGGAACAACAAATCAGTGTCTCTGTCTGTCTGTCTGCTCTCTCTCAAAATAAATTTAAAAAAATTTAATTCTCAAATACTCTGTAAGAACCCTTACTATATTAGATTAATAAGTTTTGAAATGCCTGTGTCCCTGAATTCATCGAGATTGGCAGTCTGTATATTTAGGTCCCCAGGGTCTGCCACAATTCCTCCCATAATTATGCTCAATAACTGTTGTAACTAATATGCATCATCACCACCTCTGAATCTTCTGGAAGTTCTATTGTTCTTGATCTCTGATTATGTTAGTACTAGAGGCCCAGTGCATGAAAATTCGTGCAAGAGTGCGCTTTCCTTCCCCTGGCTGCTGGCACCGGCTTCCCTCTGGCACTGGGACCCAGGCTACCTTCCCTCCGGCTGCCAGCAGGCACCCGAACCCAGGCTTCGCTCTGGCTGCCGGCTTCATCCGGAATGACGTCTGGTCTAATTAGCATATTACCCTTTTATTATTATAGATTATCAGAATGTGCTGCTGAGATGTTTGTTTTTATGCCATATCAAGAAGTACCACCCTGGCTGGGGTGGCTCAGTCCCATTTACTTAAAGGTCACCAGTTGGATTCCCGTGCCCAGGTTGCAGGTTTTGGTGTAGTGTGTGTGGGAGGCAACTGATTAATGATTCTCTCTCATATCGATGTTTCTCTTCCTCTCTCTTCCTTTCTAAAATCAATAAAAACTTTTTTTTTTTAAGTACCATTTCCAAGTATGTTTTGGAACAATAACTTAAAATAGGCAGTGTTTGTGTAAATGTAAATTACCTCCTTAACACTGAAATCTTTTTTCCTTTTCACCATATGGGCTGATGTTTTTGGCATCTTGATTATTTTTGTTTTAAATCAGTGTAAGAATTTAAAAGAATGTAAATAATACCAATTTTTACTATTCTCTGACCAATCTTAGTTAAATGGAAGGAAATTGTTTTAAAACTACTTTTCAGATCTGGAAAGATAGATAAGAATATGGAAACTGTAGCTTTCTTTGTAGGAAGGGATAGATTATAGCTGCTTTTATTTTCTGGTTTTTTCTTATTTGTAATTTCTATAATGACTAATATTGCTTTTGTAATAAGGAAGAGAAATGTCTATGATAATTTTTCTAAAGTTTGCAATCTACCTATAAACAGACAACTTTAAAGATTATATTGCCCTAGTGCCGTGGTCGGCAAACTGCGGCTCACAAGCCACATGTGGCTCTTTGGCCCCTTGAGTGTGGCTCTTCCACAAAATACCACATGTGGGGCGCGTACGTACAGTGTGATTGAAACTTCATGGCCCATGCGCAGAAGTTGGTATTTTGTGGAAGAACCACACTCAAGGGGCCAAAGAGCCGCATGTGGCTCGCGAGCCGCAATTTGCCAACCACTGCCTTACGGGGTTTGGCTCAGCAGATAGAGCTTTAGCCCACGGACTGAAGGGTCCAGGTTTGATTCCAGTCAAGGGCATGTACCTCTGTTGCAGGCTGGATCCCGGCCCTTGTCAGGGTGCATGTGGGAGGCAACTAGTCAATGTGTCTCTCTCACATTGATGTTTCTCTCTCTGTCTCTCTCCCTCCCTTCCACTCTCTCTAAAAAATTAATGGAAAAATATCCTCAGATGAGGATTAACAACAACAACAAAAGATTATGTTTATCATGAATTATGGGAGTTTCTTTATTCTTTTTTGCTCCTTAAATTTTTATTTTTCAATTACAGTTTACATTCAGTATTATTTTATATTAGTTTCAGGTGAACAGCATTGTGGTTAGACAATCATAAACTTTACAAAGTGTTCCCATATTTCCAGTACCCACCTGGCAGCATACATAGTTATTACAACACTAGTGGCCCGGTGCACGAAATTTGTGTGTGTGTGTGGGGGGGGGACGGGGGGGTGGTTGTCCTTCAGCCTGGCCTGCACCCTCTCCAATCTGGGACCCCTCGAGGGATGTCCAACTCCCTCGCAATCCGGGACCGCTGGCTCCTAACCACTCGCCTGCTTGCCTGATCACCCCTAACCACTCTGCATGCTGGCCTGCTCGCCCCCAACTGTCCCCCCTTGCCAGCCTCAAAGCCCCCAACAGCCCTCCCCTGCTGGCCTGATCGCCCCAAGTGCCCCCTCTGCTGGCCTAATTGCCTCCAACTGCCTCCCACCCACCAGCCTGCTCACCCCCAACTGCCCCCACCCTGCCGGCCTGCTCACCCCCAACTGTCCCCCCTGCTGGCCTGATTGATCGCCCCCAACTGCCCCCACCACTGGCCTGATCGCCCCCAACTGGCCCCCCCAGCGGCCTAATCACCCCCAACTTCTCCCCTCCTGGCCTGATCACCCCTAACCGCCTCTCCCTCGCCCCCACCACCATGGCTTTGTCCAGAAGGACGTCCGGAAGGTCTCCTGGTCTAATTAGTATATTACCCTTTTATTAGTATAGATTATTGACTATATTCCTTTGCTATATTTTACATCCCCCGTCACTTCTCAGTCTTTGGGCTGAGATCAAATGTACTTTACATCCCTGTGGTTATTTTGTAACTACCAATTTGTACTTCTCAATCCTTTCACCTTTTCCACCCAGCTCCCCAACCCCATGCCCCTCTGGCAACCATCAGTCTGTCCTGTGAGAGTTTTTGTCTAGTGTAATAAACAAGTTTTTCATGAATATTCTTACATATTTTTATTTTACAGATGTCCTGTTTTTATCTTGTGAAGAGTTTAACATCTGCCTGTCTAAATATGTACAGTATATCACGGTAAGTTTATCATTTGTATTGCAACTACCAAAATTATTAGCCATATTACCAGTAAATTTCTATTCTAAATTTGGTGGTCTAGTCCAACAAATTGAATTTGTTGTTTGGATAACTGCTATAATATCTATCTGCCCTGTGTGATCTCTCCCTTTTCAAAAAAAATGGGAATATTATAAAACTTAACTCAGAACACAAGAAACATGGTTTAGTCTTTCTTTGATTTTGTGGGTTCTCCAGGTCCTGGTTATAAAAATAAATATAAATAGTACTATTGTTTAGCAAGAACAGAATTCTGTATGTTTTTCTAAATTACAATGATCCTTTTAGATTAATGCTTAATTTCTAGCAAGTATCTGGGCTTAAGTTTTCTATCATCTGAATATTATATATATCTGCATATGCAAATGTGTGTATAATTCTTATAAAATAACACTCAAACTTACATTTTGTGCATCTGTGCTTGTCCCAGGCTCCATCACACAACATCGGCCGTGTTCTGTTACAGTAAACCTCGGAGCGGTGAGAAGTACACCGATCCCTTTCAGCTTGGTAGGAGATATTTGAAAGGTCTGTATGAGGACATTAGGAAGGTAAGACAGTTCTGGTGATGCTGTGAAGTATGTTGAGCTTTTAGATTTATGAAAACAGGACGCGGGTTTCAGATATGTACAGAGCCATTGCAGACTTCATAAGTCAGGTTTCAGAAGTTTCTTGAGCAACAGCCGTAGGGCAATATGGAGGACCGAACACATTACCTCCAGAAAGAGGTTGTTGCAGAGTTTGGTACCTGAAGAAAATGGCACAGGTAGCACCTACCTGTCCAGTGGGCTGTCTGACATTTTCTCTCCACTTCCATCCCCTAGTCCACCCCTGTTGAAGCACTGAAGCCTCATGGCTCCTGCTGTCGTCTCCCTTATCTGGCCCTGAATGTCAGTGCCGGACTGCTTTCATCATCAAGTGCTCTCCTCCCCAACAGTTTCAGTGGTGCCCGGCCTCACTGTATCCCAAACGCTGCCAGAAATGCCCACATGCCGCTCGTCAGCTCCCTTCCCCTTTCCATCCTCCTCGAGCTCCACCCCACTTGGCAGCTTTCACAGCAACACCACTCCTACGTGACCGGCCACGCAGAGCCCCTGAAGGAGGCGCTCCCTCAGTGCCTGCTCTGTCACCGTACAAGCTCATTTGTGCCGTCTTCTGACGGGAACGTCCCTTCCTTTCCAGGATAGTCCCCTTACCTCTAGTTAAGTTTCATCCCCAGCTCCTGGGGCACTGCTCCCACAGTAGCCTGTTCTCCTTGACCTGCAGACTCTCGCTCTTTGTGTCTCTTTCCTATGCCTTTTAGGGACTCCAATTTGTTCGTGTTCATCTTTTTTTTTTTTTTCCAGAGAGGAAGGGAGTGGGAGAGAAAGATAGAAACATCAATGAGAGAATCACTGATCAGCTGTCTCCTGCACGCCCCCTACAGGGGATTGAGCCCGCAACCTGGGCGTGGCCCTTGACCGGAATCGAACTGGGGACCTTTCAGTCAACAGGTCTGCGCTCTATCCACCGAGCCAAACCAGCTAGGGCTGTCTTTTTGTTTTGTTTTGTTTTTAACATTTTTATTGATTTCAGAGGGGAAGGATGGTGAGAGAGAGATAGAAACATCAATGATGAGCAGCTAGGGCTCATGTTTGTCTTTCAAAGGACCATTCCTGGACCCGGTGTCCTACCTCTTCCCTTCCATCACAGTATGCTCTTCCTCTGTCTCTATTTTGCCCCTTCACATTCACTCCACCATCACACTAGGGCTTTCTTTCCAGCCTCTTCTCAGAACCTGCCTTTGCCTGGGTCTTCAGTAGCTTCCTTCTAATAAACCCAGTGGACACTTCAGTTTTTATCATCCTTGACTTTTTTGAACATTGATCACTGTGGACCACTCCCACTCCATGACACTTTTCCCCTGGCCTTGTTCTGATTCTTAGACCATTCTTCAGCCTGCTTCCTCCTCTGTTGGCCCCTCCACTGTGTCCTCAGTCTACCTGTTCCCATTGCTTACGACTCCCAAGAAATACCTCTATTCTAGATTGAATCATGGTTTGAAACCCGTACATCTAACATCTAACTGTTCACTGGCGGCTCCATGTAGTGTCCATGGCTCTCAAATTTAACATATGTGAGTCTCTACTTTTCCCTCCTGTCTTTTCTCCTGTTTTTCCCAGGATCCCCAGAAGGATCCTCCACTCATCCATCTCTTTCCCCCTCCACATCCCCTGGTCCAAGCCTGTCAAACTCAAAGGCTAACATGGGCCAAATAAGGTTTAAGTTTATGTGGGCCGCAAAAAAACAAAAGCTTCATTTTTCATAGACACATAGGTTTATTTTGATAGAGCCATGCTGAATACAAAGGGCTTAAATAAATGAATAATCGTTAACATAAAACAATAAAACATTTTAATAAAAATTAATATTTTTTTCTTGAACATTAACTTACCAGACACTGAATAACTGCACAAATTAATAAGCATAACGCAAATAAACCTATTTTTCTTGTTCTCCGAAAGCAAAATATTTCCTGTTGCGCACACCAAACAAATCAGTACCAGACTAATGATGTGGCAATCAGCTGCTAAAATACTTGCTGCTAGTATTAGTGGAGAGAAATGGTGAGCCTGCGTGTAAGGTGCGAAAGGGAAATGAATGCAACACAATTATAGTAACCAGTCATTAGCAAGCATTGTAGTTCGTTATTAATAATTATGTATAACAGGATACTGTAAAAATTAAGTTACGAATTTTTTTGTAAACCATTTCTTACATCCCATTATATTGACTGGGCCTCAGAAATATTCACTGTGGGCCACATGTGGCCCGCGGGCCGAGAGTTGGACATGCTTGCCCTGGTCTGTCTCTTGCCTTCAGTCCCACTGCCTTAGGTTAGGCACCCCTATCTGTTGCTATCATCCTTGCTGTCCCCCTCCCTCTTTCACTCAGAGCCTGCTCATATCTCCACCTACTCATATTTCCACCTGAACTCATGTCTCCATCTACTCATATTTTCTACTGAACTACTCATATCTCCAGCAGAATTTAAGGAAATGTGTGAATATTACTTTGATGGAAAAGGAAAAGCCTTTTGAACAATGATCATCATGCTAATTAATGGCCCAAGTGTGTAATAATGGCCAGAGGTGCCTCCTATGTGATCCCAGGGTAACTGTGCTTATCTCAGGGACAGCACCCGTCCCGCTATTGTGTTTTATTTCAGTTACTGTTTTATTACTTCTCCCCATCTAGACTCTGAGCTCCTGTAGGCAAGGAGGGGCTGTCTTATTTATCTTTGTAACCTCTACATTTATTACCATTCTTGGCACTCAGTCTATAATTTAGTGAGTTAATGACTAACCTGCTATATAGTTTCTCCTGTGCCTAGGAGGGTCCATTCCTGTGTGTGTGTGTGTGTGTGTGTGTGTGTGTGTGTGTGTGTCTTGTTTTGTTTTTGTTAATCCTCACCTGAGGATATCTTTTCCATTGATTTTTAGAGAGAGTAGATGGGAGGGAAAGAAGGAGGGAAACATTGATGTGAGGCACATTGGTTGCCTCCTGCACTTGCCTTGACTAGGGATGGAATCTACAACTGAGGTACATGCACTTGACCCTGAATCAAACCCGCAACCCTTGGGTGCACAAGCCAACACTCTAACCCAGCCGTGGGCAAACTACGGCCCGCGGGCCGGATCCGGCCCGTTTGAAATGAATAAAACTAAAAAAAAAAAAAGACCGTACCCTTTTATGTAATGATGTTTACTTTGAATTTATATTAGTTCACACAAACACTCTATCCATGCTTTTGTTCCGGCGCTCCGGTCCAGTTTAAGAACCCATTGTGGCCCTCGAGTCAAAAAGTTTGCCCACCCCTGCTCTAACCACTTAACCACACCAGCCAGGACTCTGGGTCCATTTTTAGCTCCCACTGCCTCTGGGGGATCCGCTGTGATTAATTCCAGCAAGCCCTTGTACAGCAGGTAAAACACAAACACCTCCATCAATTGGAAGGAGCTCTCCTCTTCACAAATCGAAGACCTACTTATCCTTAATCCCAGGTCAAAGCTGATCTCCGGAAAATGTTTAGTTTTTTTTAGCCTACACTGCTCTCTCCTACTTTGAACTTATAATGGATTTAATTTACAGCATTATTCAAGATATGACCGCATTATTTACTGAATATTTCTTTTTTAAAATAGTTGGTTAGCCCTAGCCGGTGCTCAGTGATTAGAGCATTGACCCGTGGAGAAGGGTCATGGGTTCGATTCTGGTCAAGGTCATGTACCTCGGTTGCAGTCTCAATTCCCAGCAGGTTGGGGAGCATGGGGCGCATGCAGGAAGCAACCAATCGATGTGTCTCCCTCACACTGATATTTCTCTCTCTCTGACTCTCCCCCTCCTTTCCACTCAATGGAAAAATATACTCAGGTGAGGGTTAACAAAAACAAACAACAAAAAACAGTTGGCTAGAATGTCCCGATATGCCAAGGTTGCGGGTTCCATCCCAGGTCAGGGCACATACAAGAATCAACCAATGAATACATAAGTGGCACAACGAATCAATGTTGTTCTCTCTCTCCAAGATCAGTTTAAAAAAAGGAAAAAAAGTTTTGTCTCCCCAACTCATTTGTAAGCCCCTCTCATCAGACAAACCACGTCTTACACTTCCCTTTTGAATTTACCGCTGCTGCTTCTTCCCGGCCACCATCTTACCTTCTGCCAGATGCACAGCTTCTCCCTCCCAGGACAGCCCTGACCTGCTTCATGGCTCCCCACAGCCACTGGCTCCCAAACTCCCTGTCTTTGTCCCCTCCTCTCCCTCTTCCACACTGCTAGCCAGCCCCTGCCCCCTTTTCCAGCTGTCACTGGGCTGGTGGGCTGAGTCACTCAGAGCTTTCCTCCCCTTCCTGCTGCCTCTCAGAGTCACTGGAGGCAACGCCTGCTCTCGCACTTATGCCACTTGGAGTAAAGCCAGGCATTGCTTGTTGTCCAGTCACAGGGCAGCCAGGGTTTTGGCCATACCATTGAGGAACCTTTTCCAGCTGAGTATTGAATTTCTCAATTAAGATGAATACACAGAAATCAAATCCAAGTTTTGTAAAAGAAATCCTGTTGACTTTCTATGCAGTTATGATGCCATATTGACACAGAGACTCTTTATTTCAGGAACTGCTCATATCTCCAATAGAACTTAAGGAAATGTCTGAGTACTACTTTGATGGAAAAGGAAAAGCCTTTCGACCAGTTATCGTGGTGCTAATGGCCCGAGCGTGTAATAGCCATTATAACAACTCCCGGTGAGTCATTTGCTTCTGCTGCTCTGTCCTCTTATATTTGGCAGGTCTTCCTTCCCAAGGTCACCGTTTAGCTTCTTGTTTAAGGTGTACCGTGCATCTAAGAATTCACTTGATGATGACTTGATTCTGACTAGGAGCCACTAAGTCACTCTGGAATCTGGTCTGGGCACCTTCCTTTTCCACCTTTTTCATGTCCATGGAAGAACTACTTCAGCTGTAAATAAGCATTTTAGAAGAAGGCTAAAAGTCAAATTTAGTTTTCTTTATTCAGAAGTAGAGACTACCAGGATATATGCATACATGTAATCATTGTCCACACGTGCCAGTTAGGCCAAAGGTTGATGGGTATGAAGTGATAAGCTTTGCCAAGATTCTGGGCACCACACCCCCTGCAGCGCCTGCCTGTCTGGGGCTTAAAAAAGGCATTTTGACTGTAGATCCTTAGCTTTCGTGTTTCGAATATATTTTAAGATTTTAAAATATGAAAACAACAGCAACATTTAGTATTAAAGGAAGTCTTAAAAGGAAAGAGGATGTACCCATATTACCAAATACAGCAGTCTTTATCATTCCCTCTGCCCCGCCCTCTTCCTGTCAGTCCCACAGTATGCAAATAATTTTGAGTTCTGCTTTGTTTCCTTACCAATCTTTTTTTAAAGTCATCATGGTGCCGGAGTGTTTTCTTAGTTGTTATTTTTACATCATGTATTCTATTGATGGAAATTCCAGTAGACCATAATGTACTTATACATTTCCCTAGGGTCGAACATTTGTAGTATAGTCCCTTTCCTCAACACATTATTTTTTCTGATTTTTTTTCACATTTTTTATTGTGGTAAAAGACATACATTGTAAAATTTACCATCTTCAACTGTTTTTTATTTGTTTGAATATTTATAGTGCGTTTATTAACCAGGTAGGTGGCAATCTGAGAGAACGGCAGATGTAAAACTCTGAAAATGCCACTCTTGACATTTCATTGCAAACAAGCTCTTATAAAGGATGTGTGTGTTGGGGGGGCAGGGGGATCTAATATTAGTGAGTTGCCAGGATCTGCCTTCTTTTTTTTATATTTTATTTTTTAAAATCTTTATTGTTGAAAATATTTCATAGATCCTCCTTTTCCCCCCATTAACTTAACCTCTTCCAGCCCGCTCACATCCTCCCTCCCCAGGCCCTTACCACCCCATTGTCTGTGTCCACAAGTTATGCCTATATGCATACAAGTTCATTGGTTCAACATACATTTTAAAGAATGCCTTTGTCAGCACTAAATTTAAGGATGCTGTAAGAGTGAGCATCAGATGTTGCTTCTTAGCAGGTGCTCCCCTCTGCCCACCACAACTTTGGTGCCCTGCTGCTGCACCCTTGCAGCTCCAACACAGCGCACGGTGCTCAGGGGTGCCTCCCAGTCACCCTGAGACTTTCGGCGAGCCCCCAGGATGGTTTGAACAAGCAGTGAAATGTCTGGCAGTGACTTTTTAACCATCATCCGGCCCATTTCCAATTCACTTAGAAGGCAGAGCTGCAGCAGTGCTCCCTCCGAGCCAGACTCGAAGTGCATCGCATGTGGTCTAGACTCTAGAGCAGGTTTCTCAGCATTGGCCCGGCTGGGGTTTTGGGCCATCTTATTTGTGGAGGGAGGGGTTGTCAATGTGCATGGACCTAAGGTGTAGCACATAGTGGCACCCCTGGCCTCTACTCACAGGTGCCAGTGTGCCCCCTCCCCCGAACTGAGGACAGCCCACAGTGTCTCCAGACATTGCTACATGTTCCCTGGGGAACAAAACCGACCCTGGTTGAGAACAACTCATCTAGGGAAATGTGTGTTTATATTTTTTATTTCTCAGATTAATACTCAATACAGTTCATTACCCTCAGAGAGAACACGAACAGGAAAATAGTCTGCACTCCTGTACCTCCTGTCAGCTGTTATCCCCGCAGGTGAAAGTTTTCTCAGCTTCCTTTTCTAAACTATATAAACTGTTGGTTGCAGGAAACATTGGAGAACATAACAGAAGGCATTGCTAGTATAAAAAGTAAGTTCAAGACTGCCCTCTCCAGGAACGTCTTAGCTGCAGTGTCATTCTCCCCTTAGGTGATCAGAGCAGGGCTTGCTGAAGGCATGGGGCAGAGGCCCCCATCTGGCACTAGGCTGTGAGCCGTGAGGGAGGCATGCATTTGGATAGCACAGTATCCCAGCTACATTATTCTCCAAGTCCCAAATCCTTGAGAATAAGGACCCTTCCTAAAGTCCCCGCCCCCCCGCCCCCCTTGAAGGACTCCTGTGGATGAGGCTCTTACTGAGCTCAATATCTAGCTGTTAGTTCCATGACACTTAAAGCAGAGAGGGGTTTGGGGAGAACGGGAGAGCTGGGCCTGGTGTGGTTTTGCTTGCTGAGAAAGATGGATCTGACAGAGTGGATCAGAAGGGAAAGAACATGTTCCACAGTCTCAGTAGTTCAAGGACCCAGACTTGGAGCAAGTCAATTCAGTAGCAGATAAAGGTAGTCTGTATGGATATATGATTAGCATACTGGAAACTTGAACACATGTGTCTTTATCAAGGATTTAGGAAATGCAGTTCACATCCTGAGAGTTGTGTAAAGACAGAGACTTCATTTGCATTTTAAATAGTGAGTTTGTTCAGAACCAAACTGATGAGATTCTAATCATATCTTTAAAACTCCTAGTGACGCAGAGGATGAGAGGAAAGAAGGGTCTCCCTCCGGTGATTGTTTTTCAGAGCAGGAGCCTCTGCTCTCGAGCTGTGAAGAGACTTGGGAAGTCCTTAGCACAGGACCTCTGAACTGATGCCCCAAGGTTCAGGTCACCCATAGGGATAGGACAGACTCTCATCCCACTTTCCCACAGTTTATAGGTGGTGCTGCAGTGGGTCAGCAAAGGTTGAGCCTCTACCAAAACCTTTAAGAAAAGCTTCCATTTGGCTTACAGAAAATTAAATTATTACTCCCACTAGACCAGTGGTTCTCAACCTTCCTAATGCCGTGACCCTTTAATACAGTTCCTCATGTTGTGTTGACCCCCAATTTCATTGTTACAAATTGAACATAATTAAAGCATAGTGATTAATCACAAAAACAATATGTAATTATATATGTGTTTTCCGATGGTCTTAGGTGACCCCTGTGAAAGGGTCGTTCGACCCCCAAAGGGGTCGCAACCCACAGGTTCAGAACCGCTGCTCTAGACAGAGCTGTGTTCCCCAAACTGTGCATCAAAATCCCCTGACATGCTTTTTAAAAATACAGTTCCTGTGCCCCACCATGAGAGATTGTGATTCAGTGTCTGAGGCCTCCGCCTGCATTTTAAAGAGTATTGATTCCCATATGGTGGACCAGGGATAGATATTTAAGAAACAGTGAGCTTGTCAAAGTTCTAACAAGCCAAGTGAAACACCAATTTTTAGAATTGTCAGGAGAGACGAAGAGAAGAACATTTTAAAACAGAACTAGAGCCTTTTGTATGCCACTTGAGAACTCTGTGTACAGCCTCTAGATTTGGGAATAGCAGCTCTCTAGGTCTCTATTGTTAAAGTGAAACCAGATTTACTATTTTAATTTATTTGCTTCCCTACTTTGCTCCAAACCAACATAATACATTGCCAAGGTTTGATATTTCTTTTTATAGACAAGTTTTCCTCATTGGGGGTTTACTTGTAATTTGTTTCAGACTTCACATTATGTATTAGTATGAATAGAGGAAAACAGTTTTTTTAAATCACAAGGAAGCTGGATGGAGTGTGTGTGGGAGGTCATTATTACTAGAGGCCCGATGCATGAAACTCATGCACTCGGGGTTCCTCAGCCTGGCCTGCACCCTCTCACAGTCCGGGACCCCTTGGGGGACGTCAGCCTGCTGGCTTAGACCCAATCCCCCCCTAAGCCAGTCTTCAGACATCCCTCTCATAGTCCGGGGCTCTAGCAGTCCGGTACTCCTCGTTCCTTACCTCTGCTGCGCTCACCAGCCATGAGCCCAACTTCTGACTGAGCGGTGCTCTCCGCTGGTGAGCGCAGCAGCAGTGGCGGGAGCCTCTCCACCTCTGAGGCAGCGCTGAGGAGCAGCCAGCCCACCTCCTGGCTGAGCGGCATTCCCCCTGTGGGAGCACACTGACCACCAAGGGGCAGCTCCTGCATTGAGCGTCTGCCCCCTAGTGGTCAGTGTGTGTCATAGCGGGCAGTCTTTCTGCTGTTCAGTCGATTTGCATATTAGGGTTTTATTATATAGGATATCTATTTTTGTCTGTGCTTAAAATTATTCATTATAAAATTTTTGTTTCCATTTTAATGAAGGAAAAACAAGTGTCCTGAAGGTATGAATCATACACAGTCTTGCAGGTGTGATGTACAGAGGACATAGCCAGATTTCAAGACTCGGGCCTCCTCTGCTTATGCTGTCTCGCCTGTCGGGCTTTCTTAGCTCCTCTCCAAGAGGGTGGGAGGGTGTGGCAACTGTTTTCAAGCAGGAAGTAGACATGGTGCCCAGCTTTTTGAAGGCATGGCTCAGTGTGGCACTTTGGAAATTTCATCTTAAAGATAGTGTGAGACTTTCCTATATCCTGTAAATTTTGGGTATCTGCCACACCATTATGCTATGCATTGTGCTATGCATAAGCAGTGGCAATATTTTCCAGATAGAAGCTGACACACATTAAAACCTAATTGTATAGGGAAAAGTGCATTAGATAAAATTATAAAGCATCTAAAATGTAATGTTTGTTCTATGCCAAATAACATTCTAAGGAAGAATCTTGATTTCATCTGTCATCTGTTGAGAATTTAGCCATGCAAAATGCCATTTTCATACACTGATAGCATCTATGAAATTTAAAAATATTTTAAGAAATCTTTATTGTTTTAATATCTTCACAAAAACTCTAGTATCAGTGAGCACTGCCATTGTAGTGCAGGTTCCCAGGAGGAACCCGTCTGCTAGCGTGGTTTATGGGAACGAAAGTGGTACCTGACTCATGAATGCAGGAGAAAGACTAGAGAGAGGCCTTAATAGTTTTTTTGAGGTAGTTCCACTACTAACCAGTAGGAAGTGTATATTGTCTTAGAAATCCAGCTGAGAAAATATTCTAAAATCTAGCCTTTTGTATTTTTTTATATTAAAAAAACTGTAAAAGTCTATATATTTTCTTTGCATTAAGCTCAAATAAGATAGGGCTCAATAAATTTACCTGAAGAATCCATAAGGTCCAAGCTTCCTACTGTGGCCTCTGTGAATGTCTCACTGCGGGATTCAGAACAACTCGTAGGAGCCATCTGAACCTCCATGTTCATATTTTAAGAAAGTGGTTTTACAGGATGACTTGTCCCTGCCCTCTGTTGCTTTCCTTTTTCCTCTTGAAAGAATGTGTTGTGATCTAGAATATTTAGAACTGTTCTGATTGTGACATATTAATAAACTAGAGGCCCAGTGCACAAAAATTTGTGCACTCGGGGGTAGGGGGTCCCCCAGACCGGCCTGTGCCCTCTCGCAGTCTGGGACCCCTCAAGGGATGACCACCTGCTGGCTTAGGCCCGCTCCCCGGGGGATTGAGCCTAAGCTGGCAATCAGACATACCTCTGGCAGCCCAGGAGTCCTCGGAGGATGTCCACTTGCATCGGGGAGCAGGCCTAAGCTGCAGTCGGACATCCTTAGCACTGCTGAGGAGGCGGGAGAGGCTCCTACCACCACTGCTGTACTGGCAGTTGTCAGCCTGGCTTGTGGCTGAGCAGAGCTCCCCCTGTGGGAGTGCACTGACCACCAGGGGGCAGCTCCTGCATTGAGCATCTGCCCCCTGGTGGTCAGTGTGTGTCATAGTGACCAGTCATTCCCAGTCGTTCTGCTGTTAGGGTCAGTTTGCATATTACCCTGTTACTATAAAGGATAGAGGCCTGGTGCATGGGTGGGGGCCAGCTGGTTTGCCCTGTAGGGTGCCCCAGATCAGGGTGAGGGTCCTGCTGGGGTGCCTGGCCAGCCTGGGTGAGGGGCTGATGGGTGTTTTCAGACTGGCCACACCCCCTTCAGGGTGGGGGTCCCCACTGGGGTGCCGGGCCAGCCTCGGTGAGGGGCTCATGGCTGTTTGCAGGCTGGCCAAGCCCCCTGGCGACGGAAGCTCCCAGCCTCTCCTTTTTACTTTTTTAATTCTGGGATTTATTTACCTTCTATAATTGAAACTTTGTAGCCTTGAGAGGAGCTCAGAGCTGGCCAGGGGGGGCAGGAGGGAAGCTTGGCTTCCTCCATCGCCAGTGGCAACGCAAGCCTCCTGCTCACTCCAGTTCCATGGCCATGGCCAGCTTAAAGCAGGTACCTGGGGTTTATTTACCTTCTGTAATTGAAACTTTGTTGCTTTGAGTGGAGCTCAGAGCCTGCCGTGGCATTTGGGAAGCTTGGCATCCTCCATCATTGGGGCAACCAAGCCTCCTGCTTGCTCCAGCTCCGTGGCTGCCGGCCGCCATCTTGGTTGGGTTGATTTGTATATAGTCACTCTGATTGGCTGGTGGGTGTGGTTTATGGCATAGCGACGGTACAGTCAATTTGCATGTTTGTCTTTTATTAGTGTAGATAATCAGCAGAAGTTTACAATGGATTTCAGGGCTAAAGGCAGGTTCTGAGGTTTAGTTCTAACATATTAGGTCAGAGGAGCCAGTGAGATATCACATTATAAAATTGTATTTAAAGTAAAATCAAGAGATATCCTCTTGCTGATTTAGTGTCTGTAGTTAAATTCCAGCATCTTTAATGTAAGTACATTTCATTTTTCATTGTTTTTCTGCCAGGTTTGAGGAATCAGAATGAGCACTATCTTTTACAGATGTTCAAGATTAGGTTTTTCAAGAAAAAGTCATATTTTAGTATCCCTCTCACTTTTCTCTCCCGTAAGAGGTAACTTGATAATATTTGAAAAGTAAGCTATTGCGATAAGTGAAACATTTGGTAAACATGTGCTTAAGTCAGGCATATGTTTTAGGTTCTGAAAATTCAGTTGACTATTTCCCTAGTCTGATTTTCTTTAAATTTAGTTTTTAAAAATTCTCATAGATGGTGATGGTGATAATGATGATTAAAAAGAAACAGGGGTGCAGTCCCTTTTAACTATAAAACTCAACATCTGTGTATCTTCTTGAGAGTGTTTATCCTGTATTTTGTGTTAAATCTGGGAAACAAAAGTAGAAATTTCTCCTTTGTAAAGTTTAAATATAAATTGGAAGAACATTTTTACAAAACTTCTATTTTGGTTATTGATGGTCTTACTAAGCATTGAAGACAGTATTAAAAGCTTTGAACATCTTGACTGTTGGTTCTCTAATACACTCTTTTAGAACTCTTCTCACCTATCTCCCCCCTTCACCTTTGAAATTTAATTGTAACCTAATTGTAAACTTGATCAGCTGACCAAGACCACAATATAAGACAGACAGATGATTCTTCAGCCTGATGGCAAGATTTCTGCGATGTTTATCCTCTTTTTGTTAGCATACGAATTCTACTTTTTAATGCAGTGTCCATCTATATCCTATCTAATAATAGACAAACATGGTAATTAACCATACCTCCGACACGCTTCCCATTGGCTGATCAGGGCGATATGCAAATTAACTGCCAACCAAGATGGCGGGCCGGCAGTCAGGCAGCTGAAGCAAAGAGGAGGCTTGCTTGCTTCAGTGACAGAGGAAGCCAAGGTTCCCCACCTACCGCTGCCAGCCTCTGAGCTGCAGTCTAAGCAACTACGTTGCAATTATAGAAGCTAAACAAACCCCATGCTTTCAGCCAGCCAGCCGAGCTGGAGTCGCAACATTGTTTCAAATATAGAAGCCAAACAAACCTAGATTCCTGCTTTCAGCAGCTGAGGTCTCAGAGCTGGAGCCGAGCCTCAGAGCTAAAGCCGGCTCTCAGCTCCAGTGACAGCCATAGAAGGTAAATAAATCCCAGAATAAAAAAAAAAAAAAAAAAAAAAAAAAACAGAAAAAACAGGTATGGTTGGGAGCTTCAGTCACCTGCCAGCCTGAAAACGGCCCTCAGCCCCTCACCCAGACTGGCCAGGCACCCCTGTGGGGACCCCCACCCTAAAGGGGGTGTGACCAGCTGCAAACAGCCATCATCCCCTCATCCAGGCTGGCCAGGCGCCCAAGCGGGACCCCCACCCTAATCCAGGACACCCTTCAGGGCAAACCAGCCGGCCCTCACCCGTGCACCAGGCCTCTATCCTATATAGTAAAAGGGTAATATGCCTCCCAGCACTGGGATCAGCGGAGCCACGAGGCCTCCTGGCACCAGGATCAGCGGAGCCTCCCAGCACTGGGATCAGTGGAGCCGCGAGGCCTCCCAGCACCGGGATCAGCGGAGCAGCGAGGCCTCATTGCCCCTGTGTCAAGCGGAGCCGCAAGGCCTCCCATCACTGGGATCAGCGGAGCAAGGCCTCCTGGCCCCTGGAGCAGCGTGACAGGGGGCAGCGCCCAAACCCCCTGATCGCCCTGCGGCTCTGTGTGTGACAGGGGGCGGGGCCACAACCTCCCTATCCGCCCTGCTCTGTTTGTGACGGGAAGGCACCCCAACCCCTTGATCGGCCCTGCTCTGTGCCTGATAGGGGGGAGCTCCCCAACCCCCTGATCGCCCCTGCGGTTCTGTGTGTGACAGGGTGCGGTGCCCCAACCCCCCCATGGGCCCTGCTCTGTGTGTGACAGGGTGCGGCGCCCCAACCCCCCCATGGGCCCTACTCTGTGTGTGATGGGTGGAGCCGCAACCTCCCCAATTGGCCCTTCCCTGAGTGTGACGGTGGAGTGCCCCAACCCCCTGATCGGCCCTGCTCTGTGGGTGACAGGGGGCAGCGCCCCAACCCCCTGATCCGCCCTGCTATGTGTGTGACGGGGCGGTGTCCCAACTCCCCTATCGGCCCTACTCTGTGCGTAACAGGGAGCAGCGCCCCAACCCCCTGATCGCCCCTGCTCTGTGAGTGACGGGGGGAGCTCCCCAACCCCCTGATTGGCCCTGCTTTGTGCGTGACAGGGGGTGGCGCTACAACCTGCCATCGACCCTGCCTTGAGTGTGACAGGGGGCGGTGCCCCAACCCCCCAATCGGCCCTACCCTGAGCGTGACTGAGGGTGGCATCGCAACCTCCCGATCCGCCCTGCTCTGTGCATGACGGGGCGGCGCCCCAACTCCCCAATCGGCCCTGCTCTGAGCCCGACCAGGGGCTGCACCTAGGGATTGGGCCTGCCCTCTGCCACCCGGGAGCAGGCCTAAGCCAGCAGGTCGTTATCTCCTGAGGGGTTCCAGACTGCGAGAGGGCACAGGCCGGGCTGAGGGACCCCCTCCTCCCCCCCGAGTGCACAAATTTTTGTTCACCGGGCCTCTAGTATATATATAAAAGCCTAATATGCAAAGTGTTCACATGGGAGTTCAACCGAGAGTTCTATTGCTTGCTATGACATGCACTGACCACCAGGGGGCAGCGCAGAACAAAGGAAGGCCCCAGCTGGCAGCCGGGGAAGGGAGTCCCTGGCCAGCATTTGGAAGGTCCTGATGGATCCTGATCGCTGGCCAGGCCTAGGGACCTTACCCATGCATGGATTTCGTGCACCGGGCCTCTAGTAAAACATAATCTTGGCGTGAAACAAATATTCTCCAAGTAATAGAAATGTCTCTGTAGGAAAGCCAAAAGTTTTTACAGTTTCTCTTAGAGAAATAAAATTCTTTGTCCTAGATTTGATGTCCAGTGTTCACAAGATGAATGCTGAGAAGGTTCTTGGCGGTATCTGTTAAAAAGCATTGCTTTCTGTTAACTAGAGATGTGCAAGCCAGCCAGCGCTCCATAGCTCTAATTGCAGAGATGATCCACACTGCTAGTCTCGTTCACGACGATGTCATTGACGATGCCAGTTCTCGGAGAGGAAAGCACACAGTTAATAAGATCTGGGGTGAAAAGAAGGTACAGTTTTTTATTTGTTCTTTAATGTTCTTTGGATTCCATTTATTTTTCATTTTTGTCTCATTAAAAAATTACGCTTCTTCAAATGTGGTCTACCAACTTTCAGAATAGTATTCATGTCTTATCTTTTTGTTTTGTTTTGTTTTTTTTATCAGAACCTGGGACCCTTGAGTCCGCAGTCAGACTCTCTAGCCACTGAGCCAAACTGGCTAGGGCTGTGAGGTTTTTATTTTAAATTGTAGATTAAAGGTTTTGTGTCTCATTGGCCGAATTCCATTCATCAGAACATTGGTAAAGAGAGGGTCGAGTTTTGTTTTTAAAGGGTTGTGGGTAACTCTATGATGTGTCCCGGTGGTCAGCTGTCAGTGTTCAGGGCCTATTCTTAAAGCCTAATTTGGGCTCTTGGTCAGGGAAAAAGATTAAGAGAACAAATGAAGGTCTTCTCCTTGATCAGTCCCCTCTATAACAGCCTCCATTGTTGGGGGCCTCTTTCTGAGTGTGGGTGAAGGAAGGTGGTTCCCTTGAGCTGTGAGACTGGTCTGCCCTTCACAAAGCCACCTGCCAATCTCCCCTTTTCTGTCCCTCAATCCACACTACTATGATCGTGATCAAATAAAATTTAAAAAGTCACACAGTGCACCTCTATGAGCCTCCATTTCCCTGCCTGAGTTCCCAGACATGCCTTCCTTTAACCCCTCACTCCAGGAAGCCACATCTAGCAGCTTCAGTTCCATATGCTAGAACTTTTGCTTCCAGGAACCCTAGGGCCAGAGGAAAGAGGTAAAAGCTTAGAGATCTGCTGATGATGTAGTATAGATGAACGGATCTATATGTGTATGTATATATCATAATTATAAAATGGCTTCATACATGTATAGTTATATCAAGATATGTTATATAAAAGGACAATTCATTGATAAACATAGTGAAATCATTAATTTTAGATACTAGAGAAGCAGTAGACAATAAAACCTTAAAATGTGGTTTGTTGAAAATTCTATAAATTAAAATTCCTATGAACTCTAGCATTTATAACTAGTTACTCTATAACATAACACTTAGGCATATCTTTTGGTATGAAAGTTACTGTATTTGATTATAGCATATAATTCAGTTATGTCTAATTTATGGTTAGTTGCATATACTGTATGGGCATCTCACAATTAAAGAAAATTGCAATAATATTGATTATCTAATATTCAGTGAAAAAACTATTTTGTGTCGAAATGAGGGGCAGTGTAATATAGTGCAGAGAGTATTGAACTTGGAGCCCAGGTGCCTTAGTTTAGTTTTCATTGAGAAAAATGTGTTTTGTATTGTGCCCTGCGCTGGGGTAGGCTAAGTCCTAGCTAGGATAATTATCAGTCTGGACCCTCAAGCAGTTTAGTAAATAGGGAATCACCGATTGAGGAAAAGTGCACCGTACGCATTGTGCAAGGGGTGCTCTGCTCCCTCAGAACAGAGACATCGGATCAGGCTGAGTGGGATCTGAGTAGACTTCTGGAGGTGCCATCTGAGCTAATTACACAGATGAGTGCTGGATGAAGAAGGAGAAGGACTTGGGGGCAGAAGAAGCATTAAATGCAAAGGCACAACAAGGTGGATTGAGCGAGTGGTCCAGCATAACTAAACTGAAAGCCGCTGCTCCTGGAGGGGCCAGGGGATGAAGCTGGAGGGTAAGATCCTTGCCATGTCCCGGCATCATTTCTTCAGCTCAGAAGTGGAGAGCTAGACTGGGTAAGCTCTGAGAGCCAATCCAGTCCAAACAATGTCCCAAACCTGGAACTGTTTTCACAAAATCCGTTGAGCAAGAGGAAGGGGAAAACTTACATCTAAGATGACCCCTTCCTCTCATTCTGTTTGTATCTTGTGAGAAGTCAGCTTCATTATTGGCACCCTTGCTCTGACACTTTTCTCTGAAAGGTTTTTTCTTTTCTAGGCTGTTCTTGCTGGAGATTTAATTCTTTCTGCAGCATCTATAGCTCTGGCACGAATTGGAAATACAACTGTTATATCTATTTTAACCCAAGTTATTGAAGATCTGGTGCGTGGTAGGTTAATTCTGACTTTTATTTTTTATTCTTGCTTAGTATGTAACTGGGCAATAAAACCATGTCTCAAATTACCCCTTTCCTTCTTTTTAGGTGAATTTCTTCAGCTAGGGTCAAAAGAGAATGAGAATGAAAGATTTGCACACTACCTTGAAAAGACCTTCAAGAAGACTGCAAGTCTGATAGCCAACAGTTGTAAAGCAGTATGTACGTTCTGTCTTTTTTCAAGTTAAAAAAAAATAAAGCCTCATAGCTCTTTCTTGGGAGCTAATTCTCCTAGAAAAAAATTCACTGGAGAACCTTAAAATAGTACCACAAACCCCAAGAGGTCATTGAGAAAAGAACCCCAAACAGTGGAGAACTTCTGCTGCGGTTTTCATATTTGTCTTTTGCTATGCAGACATTCACTTTTTAAAAAAAAAAAAAATTTTATTTTTATATATATTTTTTAAATTAAATCTTTCTGGTTCAGATTATTACAGTTGTTCCTCTTTTTCCCCCCCATAGCTCCCCTCCACCCAGTTCCCACCCCACCCTCTGCCCTTACCCGCCCCCCACTGTCCTCATCCATAGGTGTACGATTTTTGTCCAGTCTCTTCCCGCACCCCCCCACACCCCTTTCCCCATGAGAATTATCAGTCCACTCCCTTTCTATGCCCCTGATGCTATTATATTCACCATTTTATTCTGTTCATCAGATTGTTTATTCACTTGATTTTTAGATTCACTTGTTGATAGATATGTATTTGTTATTCATAATTTTTATCTTTACCTTTTTCTTCTTCTTCCTTTTCTTAAAGAATACCTTTCAGCATTTCATATAATACTGGTTTGGTGGTGATGAACTCCTTTAGCTTTTTCTTGTCTGTGAAGCTCTTTATCTGACATTCAATTCTGAATGATAGCTTTGCTGGGTAAAGTAATCTTGGCTGTAGGTTCTTGGTATTCATCACTTTGAATATTTCTTGCCACTCCCTTCTGGCCTGCATAGTTTCTATTGAGAAATCAGCTGACAGTCGTATGGGTACTCCCTTGTAGATACCTAACTGTTTTTCTCTTGCTGCTTTTAAGATTCTCTCTTTGACTTTTGCTCTTGGCATTTTAATGATGATGTGTCTTGGTGTGGTCCTCTTTGGATTCCTTTTGTTTGGGGTTCTCTGCGCTTCCTGGACTTGTAAGTCTATTTCTTTCACCAGGAAGGGGAAGTTTTCTGTCATTATTTCTTCAAATAGGCTTTCAGTATCTTGCTCTCTCGCTTCTTCTGGCACCCCGATAATTCGGATGTTGGTACGTTTTAAGTTGTCCCAGAGGCTCTTTACACTGTCTTCATATTTTTGGATTCTTTTTTCTTTTTGTTGTTCCTGTTGGGTGTTTTTTGCTTCTTCACATTTCAAATCTCTAGTCTGCTGTTGGATCTCTGTATAATATTTTTGTGTGTGTGTGGTTACTTTATTTTATTTTTATTTAAATAATTTTTATTTCTTAAAGTATTACAAAGTATTACATATGTCTCCTTTTTTTCTCCCCTTGACATTCCCCTGGCCTCCCCTACCCCCCAGTGTCTTGTGTCCATTGGTGATTATATGCATGCATATAAGTCCTTCGGTTGATCTCTTAACGCCCCCCCACACACACACAAACCCTCCCCAGGCTTCCCACTGTAGTTTGACAGTCTGTTCAATGCTGTTCTGCCTCTGCATCTATTTTTGTTCATCAGTTTATATTGGTCTTTATTATCCGTTTCGACCTCACCGGGCTGTCCCAACCTCACTGGGGCCGTCCCGACCTCACCGGGGCCGTTTCGACCTCACTGGGGCCGTCCCAACTTCACCGGGGCTGTCCCTACCTCACCGGGGCCATTTCAACCTCACCGGAGTCATCCCAACTTCACCAGGGCCGTCCCAACCTCACCGGGGCCGTTTCGGCCTCACCGGGGGCCGTTTCAAGCTGATTGGGGCCGTCCCGACCTCACCAGGGCCGTTTCTTTCTTTCTTTCTTTTTTTTAAATATATTTTATTGATTTTTTACAGAGGAAGGGAGAGGGACAGAGAGTCAGAAACATTGAAGAGAGAGAAACATCAATCAGCTGCCTCCTGCAACACCTCCCACTGAGGATGTGCCCGCAACCGTGGTACATGCCCTTGACATGAATCGAGCCTGGAACCTTTCAGTTCGCAGGCCGACGCTCCATCCACTGAGCCAAACCGGCTAGGGCTCTGTATAATATTCTTTATTTGCGTCAGTGTATGCTTAATTTCTAGTTGGTCCTTTTTCATATCCTCGAGGGTCTCACTAGATTTCTTGAGGATCTCACTAAATTTATCGGTGGTTTCTAGAAGATTCTTGAAAAACCTTATAACCATGGTTTTGAACTCTATATCCAGTAGTTTGCTTTCCTCCATTTCTGTCATTTGTGACCTGTTTCTTTGTCTCCACATTTTTTATGCTTCCCTGTGTTGATAAGAGAGGCTTTCTGTGCTAGGTGTCCTATAGGGCCCAGTAGCTCAGTCTCCCCAATTACCTGAGGTGGACACTCTTGGTGCACCCCTTTGTGGGCTTTGTGCACAGTCTTGTTGTAGTTAAGCCTTGATTGTTGTAGGTATCACTGGGAGGAATTGACCTCCAGGCCAATTGGCTGTGAGAATCAGCTGTGTCTACAGTGGGAGAACTTCTGTGCTGGAGACACCTTTATGGGGCAAGACTTGCTTCAGTGGGGCTTTGGTGCTCACTGAGTCTGCTCCCTGAGTGTGTCCCTTATGGATCTGAGGAGTTGTAATCTGGATGGTCCCACTCTGACCACTGGGTACACTGGCTCTTGGATCTCTAAGGAGGTGCTAATATAGCCTCTTCCTGAGGCTACCCAGCAGGAGCTATGGAGAGATCTGCAGATTCCTCTTCTTTATTTGGTGTTTGGAGGTGCCCAGATGAGGCCCAGCTGTGAAGCAATGCAAGCTGCTTTGGGGCCTTGGGCCTTCTTTTGGATGTTCTGGGTCTCTCAGCTGCAGTTTGGTAGGTAATTTCAGATTGCAAAGGGCCAGGCTATTCATATGCAAAAGCCTCTGTGCATAGCTTGGGTGGGGTGGGGTCTCAGGGAATCAACAGGGAGGAGCAAACAGCTATGGCTGATCCTCACCCCTGTCCTAAGAGGCCCTTGGTCTCAGTGTCCCGCGGTAATCGCTGCAAGCACCTCTGAGAGAATGCCGCCCGATGCCAGACAGCCCAGTTTCTCTCTGTATGAGTCTGGGTCCCCAGAGACTCATCCGGAACTGGAGTTCAGAACCATCAGGAGTGTGTGACTCCCTCCCGATTGAAAAAGACAACCACGTCCTCACCTACCAGCCCTTTCCGCGTGCGCCTCGGTACCTCTGCACTTTACTTCCGCACCTCCTCTGAGTCTCAGTGTGCTTTTCTATTTCCTTCTAGTTGTAGAATTTCCACTCAGCCAGGCTTACTGTGGTTCTGGATGATGTCCGTTTTGTCTTTTAGTTGTATTTTTGAAGTGGTTGTGCAAGGCAGCAATTTCCAGTGTTTACCTATGCCGCCATCTTGGTTTCTCTCCAGACATTCACTTTTTATCTCCCCCCCCCCCAAGTGTTTAATCCAAATAAGCTTTAGTCACTAAATCTAATTTCCAAACTATGTTATCTTTTGGACAGCATATGAGTAATTCTTTTCATGATTGCTGTCCCATAGTGTACCTTTAAAAAGTTATGAAGTGCTGTATTTCCCAGGAAAAAAAGTCTAACTATAATACTAGATTGTTTTAGTGTTTTGTGTTTTTTTATGAGTAGTAGATTCTCCCATTATATTTATGTGAAATATAAACAAGCCATTTTTCTTCAGAACATAAATTGTGAGCCATAACATTTTCTTTAGTTAGCATTCTCCCTGGTCTTCCCTCCACTGTCCACGTAGTTTTCTTTTTAAAAGCTCAGTTAGCATTGTCCTTAATCTGTAGACTAAAAACGTGTGGTGTCCAGTGCTAGCCCATAAAAAGTGAGAGTTCTCTCCATAGAATTATCCCTGTTATATGTCCCAGCCTAACAGATGTAATAGAGATGAATCCTGGGCAAGTAATAGTCCCTTGTAATTAAAGCAACAAGAAAGAAAACTAGTAAGCGGCAAATGTCAATTGCTGTCATGATAGACTCTTAACATAATTACAGTTAAAGAGCTTTTCCTCGAGCTTCTTGGGTAAAAAAGTCCCCTGCCAGCAGTGTCTCTGTTTTGAAAAGTGTCAAGAAATGGATAATTGTGAGCCAGAAAAGAACAAGGACAACATTTTCATCCTAAAAAAGACCTAATGAAACCCAAAGGAATGTAAATTATGTAGAACATGCTGGCCATGATTTCAGCCACTTTTTTCTTTATTAAAGGGGCTATTTTTATTCCCAAGAAATTTAAAGTTTTTTAAAAAAGAGAGACAGATGTGCCCTGGCCTCTTTGCACAGTGGTTAGAGCATTGGCCCATGGACCAAACGGTCTTGGATTAGATTCCTGGTCCAGGGCATATACCTCGTTGCAGGCTTGATCCTGGGCCCTGGTCGGGATGCGTGTGGGAGGCAATCATTGGATGTGTCTCTCTTGCATCAATGTTTCTCTCCTCTCTCTCTCCCCACCCCCTCTTTCCTCCTCTCCACTCTCTAAAAAATATCAATGGGAAAAATATCCTCTGTAAAGGTTAAAAAAGGGAGATTGATGAAAAAATGACAGACACAAATGCCAACTAAAAGAATGACCTATTTAAAAGGGTGCCATAACGCTGTTCCATTAATTGATCATACCCTTGATCACTAAAGTTTCTGTGAAGATCAAGATCCATCCTTACAAGGCTCCTGGTGTGTTCATTGAAGCTTGCTGGTGGTTTCAGCAACTTGAGCCTGCAGTTAGAGGCACTAGCAGGTAGAGGGACTGTTGGAGCTAGAAACACTGAGAATCATTGTCCACACAAAGCGGGCATCCCACAGGCACATGGCAGCAGCACCATGTGGAGCCAGCCCAGTAACGAATGCCCTCAGTGATTGAATCCTATGAGGGAGCCAAGGAGACGGGCCCCACTCATCCCAGAAAGGCTTAATTGTGGTCACAGACCTCTGCTTAGGAAGCCAAGACATTATAGCACATGTATTGATTTATAAAGAGCACCTTTTCTTCAGATTAGCAAGTGAACAGTGGATGCAAATGTTAACATGGCTCACCCTATTAAATATGAAATGTGTAATTCTGTCCACTAGGGGGCATGCTGGCATCATCCCAGAACTACCCACTTCCATGGGATGTATTCCTAAATTCCAGCCTATTAGAATAACAAAGCAAAATCAGTGTGGGCTCCCTGGATAAAAATTTCTATATGTAAGTGCATATGGGTAGATATATTCCAAAGGTGTTGTTTTCAAAATTGCTATTTTTATATGTGGACTCCAGAAGAATGCATGCAAAGCAAATTACAGATGCCAAAAGGAGGGGATAAAGAGAATTTAAACATCAGGATTATTGAGAACTAATGGAATTCCATGATGTTATAGAACTTGAAGGAAATTTAGCAGCTTATAATTCATTCTACTAAGGACACCATTACTTCACCCTGTTTTTAACCACTCATAGTATTTTAGTGGAAATATTAAGAAAATCTAAGAGAGGGCTATCTAGGATTGTTTTGTGGCACTGGTTGATATGAAAGTAGAAGTAATCTTAAATGATTGGCTATTTATGTACATAGTCATGCCGAGTACATCCTGTAGCTTTCCAGTGAAGGTATGACTTGTTCTCCAGAAAATCTGATGGGAATGAGACCTGAGAGGTCTGGTTGCCATCCAGTGTTATTCAGTCCGACTGACAGTGGCTGAGCTGGGATTTGAACCAAGAACTGGATGTGGTATTCCTACATTCAGTTTTCTGAATTTATGTGGGTTCTTGTGGCTGGAATCAATAAGCTGTCTTTCTATTATTTAGTTTTCAATGATACAGAGTGCCACCACAGAACTTTATGTGGGTCTATTTATAGAATACTGTTTTTTGGTTATGTTATTATCTAATCTACAGATAGACCTTATTCACATTTTGCCAATTGTCCTAATACTGTTATAACAAATGGAAACAATTTTTTTCTGGTCCAAGATCCAATCCATGCTCTCATGTTGCATTTAATTGTCGTGCATCTGTAGTCTCTTTTGTTCTGGAACAGCTCTTATCTTACTACTAGTGAGGTTCACTTGATCATCTGATTAGGGTGGTGCCTGCCAGGTTTCTTCACTTTCAAGTTAAAACTCCCAGGCTCTGGTTTTAGCATCTATTTATAATCCTTTCCTGAGACAGTTATTACTATGCTGGTTGCCAAATGAATAATTCCATTATTCCTCTACATCACATTTTTACATTGAGTTGGTATTTTATTCTAAGGAAGTTTGTTTTAGTCGTTCATGAGAACATTTTTTCCATGGATTTTTCTTTTTCTTTTTTTTTTTTTTTTTTTTTTTTTAGAGAGAGTGGAGATTAGGGAAGAGGGAGAGAAATACCCACTTTCATGGGATTTATTCCTAAATTCCAGCACTATTAGAATAATAAAACAAAATCAGTGTGGGCTCTCTGAATAAAAGTTTCTATATGTAGAAATAGATGGACAGAAATATTCCAAATATTCTGAGAGAGAGAAAAAAACAACAACATCAATGTGAGACATATTGATTGGTTGCCTCCCACATGCACCCTGACTTAGAGGCTGGGGATCGAGCCTGAACCCAGGTATGTGCTCTTGACCTGGAATCAAACCTATGGACCCATGTTCTAATTACTGAGCCAAACCAGCCAGGGCTATGTTAAGGAAAATTTTTGTCTATGGACTCTTGGTTTCTTATTTTATTATTTGGATTATAATCCTTTATTCTTATTTATTTTAATGCCCAATTGCCCCAAACTTAACCAGTGGGGAAGGCCCTTTAACCTCGCTCCTGTGTCGATGACCATATCCCTAGTATTTGTAATTGGACTATTGGAAACCTAAATGCCTGAGTGGCTGAGGGAACCATGGTATGTCCACACAATGGGATATGATTCTTTCAGCACTTCCTTTGTTTCTGGGAGCTCTGTCTGGCTTTCTTGTGGGGGATCAATGTAGATGCTCCCTCTCTGGTAGAGTAGATGCCTGTCCCCTTCCCCCATTTTGGTTTTTATTGTATTTGTTCCCTAAAACTGGGCATCGGCCTGCTCAGCATGCTCAGCAGAGCAGTAGGAACTACACTCAGGTGGCCAGTGATAGCTAGTTTTGTTGGAGTTTTAAGAAAGATTTAGCTAAAAGTCTTACTTCTCCCCCACTGGAAAGGAAAACAAATAAATACGGAGGAGACCGTAGGACCAGGGATGATCCTTTGATAATGAAAGAACAATATCTATGTCTGAAGCATGAGGCTTTAGGCAATTACACACATTTCAGAAATAAGTGGAATCACTAAAAACTTATTGTAAAAAAGGACTACAAATGGGGAAATATGTATGGCATCTTTGTGTGTATTATTATATTAGATACCATATCCCTAAAATAAGGGCTAGAAAAATAACAGAAAACCAACAATTGGGACAACTGCTAGAAGCCAGAATTTCACATATTGGAGTCTCTTTATTTCGCCTTTCAAAATTAACCAGCAAGACTGGTCTAGTTTAGCTTGGCTTTTCCTAAGCAGTGGGAAAGAGGGTTTATCCTGTGAAAAAAGGGAGAGAAAGGATAGTTTTCTTAGAACTTAAGGAAGTTATCAGAGACTAAAATCCTTTCATTAAGAACACAGGTATAGCCCTAACCGATTTGGCTCAATGGATAGAGCGTCGGCCTGCGGACTCAAGGGTCCCAGGTTCGATTCCAGTCAAGGGCATGTACCTTGGTTGTGGGCACATGCCCAGTAGGGAGTGTGCAGGAAGCAGCTGATCGATGTTTCTCTCTCATTGATGTTTCTAACTCTCTATCCCTCTCCCTTCCTCTCTGAAAAAAAAAAAAAAAAAAAATCAATAAAATATATTTTTAAAAAAACAAAACACAGGTATAGTTGACTCTTAAATAACACAGGTTTAGACTGTGCGAGTTCACTTACATGCAGATTTTGTCCAGTAAATACTCTCAGTGGTTCTCAACCTTCCTAAAGCTGAGACCCTTTAATACAGTTCCTCATGTTGTGGTGACCGCCAACCATAAAATTCTTTTCGTTGTTACTTCATAACTAATTTTGCTACTGTTATGAATCGTAATGTAATTATCTGATATGCAGGATGTATTTTCATTGTTACAAACTGAACATAATTAAAGCATAGTGATTAATCACAAAAATAATATGTAATTATATATGTGTTTTCCTATGGTCTTAGGCGACCCCTGTGAAAGGGTCGTTCGACTCCCAAAGGGGTTGCGACCCACACGCTGAGAACCGCTGCTCTAACTGTATTTTCCTTATGACTTTCTTCACACTTTTCTCTAACTTTATTGTAAGAATACAATACATATAATATTCATAACATGCAAAATATATATTAATTGACTGTTATTTCTAAGGCTTCAGTCAACAGTAGACTATTAGTAGGTAAATTTTGGGGGAATTAAAACCTGGCCGGTGTGTTCAGTGGTTAGATAGTCGAGCCATGCAACAAAAAGGTCACAGGTATGATTCCTGGTTAAGGGCACGTACCTGGGTTGCAGGTTCAATGCCCAGCCCAGTTGAGTTGCGTGCAGGAGGCACCCAGTCGATGTTTCTCTCTCTTTTCCCTTCTCCCTTTGCTCCCTCCCTTCCACTCTCTAAAAATCAATAGAAAAAATATGCTCGGGTAAGTATTAATTGAACAACAACAAAAAACCCACAAAAGTTATATGTGGATTTTTTACTGCCTGGGGGTCCGCGCCCATAACTCCACATTGTCCAAGGGTCAGCTGTACTTGCACGTGTTTGGTCTCCTGACAGCAATATTTCCCGGTTGTACACCATCGAGCCTCACTGCCTCTTACTTAAGGGAACAGATGTCTGACTCCTGCCATGCGTGTTTGGCTGCCTCGCTCCTGCCTGCCAGCCACTTATCTCGGAATTCTTATTCTGTTCCAGGTCTCTGTCCTAGGATGCCCTGACCCAGTGGTGCATGAGATTGCCTATCAATATGGAAAAAATGTGGGAATAGCCTTTCAGGTTGGTCCGCTTTGTAAGACTGGCCTATTCGTACAGTGGGAAGCATGGCCGTGATGTTGGGATGGTGGTGCTTATGACATTCCTTTTGTCCTTTCACTAGCTAATAGATGATGTACTGGACTTCACCTCATGTTCTGAGCAGATGGGCAAGCCAACATCAGCTGATCTGAAGCTCGGGTTAGCCACTGGCCCTGTCTTATTTGCTTGTCAGCAGGTAGGTTTTATACAAGTCCCTTGGACACACTGCTGTGCAGTCCTACAGAACCAGTATCTTCCAGGCACAGCTAGTGGGAAGTTTAGATCATGAATATATAGGAAAGCATTTAGGTCAGAGACCTCTATCTGGATTTGATCCTGGCTCTGTTGATGATGAGATGTTGGGGTCAGTCATTGCACATCCAAGCTTTATCTGTTTCCTTTTCTGTAAAACTGAGAAGATTACAACCTTCATGCTAGAGTTGTGAGGATCAACAGATAATATTCATGGAGATACTTTGTAAATTAAGTGCTGTATGAATTTAAGATAGCATTATGATTATTTCCATGTATTTGGAGCACTGACAAGGTGGTTTCCACATCTTGATTATAGGGCTGGACTTGGGGTGTGCCTCAGAACCCCTTACAAAGGCACAGGAAGGGCCTCCAAGCTTAAGGAATTCTGAGAAATTCTCCAGTTCCCGAAGTTTATGGGACTGTTGGCTGCTCTCAGAGAGCCTCGGGCACTGCCTCAAAATGTCAAGAAGTCAGTGGAATGCACTGCTAGAACCACATAGTTCCTTCTTCCTCCAGATTGAGGGGCTGTCCATTAAGGAAGTAAGTAAAGCTGGCTTCATATTCTTAACATAGATGAAGAGCTTAGGAGGCTTTAAAGATCCTGCAGTGACTTGCAGGGCAGACAGTCCCAGAGCCTGCTCTGGACATTTTGGCTGTGCCAAATGTCATTTGGAAGAAGTGGGACATTGGCTTGTATTTGGACATCCTTTTAGTAGATTTCATCTTTGTAGTATTTAATACATTATTTTGCAAAGCAGTAAGATGTTCATCACTATGCCATGACATTAAAAATTAGCTCTTTGGTCTGAAATTTTAGTAACTTTTAGTCTTTTAGAGATTTTGCCTCTATACTTTCCCAAAATTTACAAAGATAAATCATGCCTTCCATAGAACTCAGTGGTTCTATTTGAATATTATAGAAACCTGAGACTTTGCTTTTGATCTGCTTCTGACCAAAAAAAGGAAAAATTATCTTTTCCCCACAATGTAGTAGAACCAAAACCAGGACACTTCTTCTCAGAAGAGGCTGATGGCGTGGGGGGCGGGGCCAGGTTACTTTGGGAAACACACTAGTGGACAACAGGCAGTTGAGGATTGAGGGCTGTGCAATGTGGGAGCACTTTGTGGAATCATCTGTCCTCAGTACTGGGCTCCATCCTCTCAGAATTTTGAGGCAGAGATGAGAAGTGAAAGGTGTGCTATAAAAGGGTCTTTTCTCCTATTGAGACTAACTCACCAGCCCAAAACTCAAGAATGTTAATACGCCCTAACCGGTTTGGCTCAGTGGATAGAGTGTTGGCCTGCGGACTCAAGGGTCCCAGGTTCGATTCCGGTCAAGGGCATGTACCTTGGTTGCGGGCACATCCCCAGTAGGAGGTGTGCAGGAGGCAGCTGATGGATGTTTCTCTCTCATCAATGTTTCTAACTCTCTATCCCTCTCCCTTCCTCTCTGTAAAAAATCAATAAAATATATTTTTTTTAAAAAAGAATGTTAATACATTGCCAAGTTCTGACAAAAACTTACAAAATCCCCTTATATACATTAAAGCATGAGTGAGGAACGTTTTCTTTACCATTAAGCCACAAAAACAGAGGATTCATGCACCATGTGAAGGTATGCCTGCGATTAGAAAGATCGGTCACTAGTTACCATCTACACAATTTAAAAAAATCAATCTACTCTTTAGAAACTGGGAGTAAATGTGAATAAAGAAGAATAAGATGGACTGATTGCATCAAGATTCAACCTACTTGGTCAGTATCCCTTTAGCTAGGCTCTGAGGTTATCTAGAGGACTAAGGGACAGACCTCTCCCTGAAGCACCTCACAGTCTACTAAAAAGCAGTCTTAATTGTAAATAATTGTCATGAGCTCCATAGTACGAATAGTTGAGTCCTACTTAAACCATAAGGTGATTGAGAGTGGATGCCTCTTCTGATTGTGTTTTATTATGGGCATATTTCAAAAGGGACTAATCTGCTTTCTTCTACATAGTAGTGATGACTAATTCTGCCTTCAGATATAGTGGGGCAAAGTCAGGAGGAAAATGAACCACTCCTACATAACTAACTTGTCAGTAATCTAAAAGAGATCAATAATGCGAGTTTAAAAAAAAAAAAAAAAACTAGGAAAAAGATCAAATCTTAGAGTGCCCCAAACCACATTTTTCTATGTGCTTCACTGGGAAATCCAGTATAACAAGGCGCACACTCACCCTCACCAGACAGCACTTTTCCCATCTGCCCATCAGGCAGTGGGAGGAGTTAAAAGGCACATTGAAGTATCAGAAAACTGAACACAGATTGAGGCTCAGCAGGAAGTAACTCTGGTCAGGACCACTTTCCTGTTGAGCTGCCCCCTGGTGGTCGGTGCGCTCCCACGGCTAGCTAACCTCCTGTGGTCCCTCCCCGCGGCTGGCAGGCCCCAGCTGGCCTGGCCCTGATCAGGATGGGCGAGAAGGCTCCAATAGGCCTTGATTGCCAGCCAGGCCTTGGGACCCCAACTGTGCACAAATTTCATGCACCAGGCCTCTAGTCTACCCTAAAATATAAAAACCTAGGGTCCATAACGACCAACCAAGGACTGAACACCAGAAGACAGTCCTGAGGTCAGTGCTGGGTTGCCGTGGCGACCCAGCACTGACTGCTTACGGGGCTGCGGATCAGGCCTGGAGAGAGGCAGGGTCTGATCCGCAGCCTCCATGGCAGCTGTTAATCAGCCATTGCCTCTCTCTTTCTCCCCGGGCTTCGCCAGCAGCCGCACCTGTTTCTCTCCGGGCCTCCATGGAGGCTACTGAACAGCCTCGCCTCTCTGTTCAGGCCCCGTTGATAGGCCCAGAGATGCTGACTGGCATAGAAACCGACCAATCAGAACCAAATCTGGGTGCACTGTGAGGAGCCAATGGCTGCCTAGGAGGTGGGGCTTTTGATGCTAACTGGCATAGAAACTGACCAGTCAGAACCAAATCTGGGTGAACTGTGAGGAGCCAATGGCTGCCTAGGAGGTGGGGCTTTTGATGCTAACTGGCATAGAAACCGACCAATCAGAACCAAATTGGCCGGCAGGGGAGGGCAGTTGGGGGCGAAATCAGGCCTGCAGGGGAGGGCCATTGGGGGTGAGACCAGGCCGGCAGGGGAGGGCAGTTGGGGCGAGATCAGGCCGGCAGGGGAGGGCAGTTGGGTGCAATCAGGCAGGCAGGCAGAGGCAGTTACATGCGATCAGGCAGGCAGGCAGGCAGGCAGGTGAGCGGTTAGGAGCCAGCGGTCCTAGATTGCGAGAGATATGTCCGACTGCCAGATTAGGCCCAATCCCTATAGTCGGACATCCCCCAAGAGTTCCCCAATTGGAAAGGGTGCAGGCTGGGCCGAGGGAACCCCCCCTTCATGCATGAATTTCATGCACTGGGCCACTAGTATATATAAAAGCCTAAGTAACCAAATGACCATTTGACTGTTCACTATGATGTGCACTGACCACCAGGAGGCAGACGCTCTACACGAGAGCTGCCCCCTGGTGGTCAATGCGCTCCCCAGTGGGAGCGCTGCTCAACTGACAGGGATGAGTGGGAGCAGGTCCTCCCCAGATCCCTACAGGCCATGCCAAGGGAATCCACGGGTGCACAAATCTGTGCACTGGGCCTCTTGTGCATTCATAAATTGTTTTCAAATCAAGCATATGCTCTACTAAAGATTACACTGTCAAAGAAAAGGATTTTTGGCCAGAACTTTGGGGTAAAACAAGTCCCAAAAATAACAGAATGTGCAGTATCTCCATTTAATGAAAATACACTGTTTTCATAGTTTGCAAAGTGCCGGGAGCCGGCCCATGCTTGCTGTTTCAAGGGACCTGGCATATATGGCATACTGTTCTTAATATGTTTGCTCACCTTCTTGGCACTATGTGTTTTAACCAAGGTCTCTGAGAAAGGTTGTTTCCCCAGGTAGGGATTTTTCCCTGAAGTTAGGGAGGGAATAAAACCTCTTAACTAAGTGCCAGGTGGGTAATTAATCACTTTAACTACGAACAATCATGCTTAAGCTACATAATCTTTACTCCCTGGAATGGAGATAAGAAACGCCCTAACCTTTGAAATAGAGATTGATAGGATTGGAATCAACTGGTATAAATACAGATGTAACAAGACAGAACGAAGAGAGACAGAACCTAGGCACAGAACCTACACAGAACGTTCTCTAGAGACAGAAGAACTTCGCTGGAGAGAACATGGTAAAAGATCCTGGACAGAAACTGGCCTCAGAACCTAGAGACAGAACCTAGCGAGAGAACATGGCAAAAGATCCTGGACTGAACCTGACTACAGAAATTGGCAAGAGAACCTGACTAGAACCTGGTGACTGAACCCAGCTGGAGAACCTGGACAGAACCTGGCTGGAGAACCTAGCGAGGGAACATGGCTACAGAACCTGGCTGGAGAACCTAGCAAGAGAACATGGACACAGAACCTGGCTGGAGATCCTGAGCAGAACTTCACTGGAGATCCAGACCAGAACTTGGCTGGAGATCCTGGCTAGAGATCCTAGCTAGGCTGCTGATCAACTGAACGCTGTCTCTGTGTCATTCCTTCTTTGCCGACTCCATCCACACCTTTGGGGACTCCTGGACCTGCTGGGGTTGGACCCCGGCAGCAAAGGATTCTTTAGACATTAATCTAACAAATCCTCTTTTGTGGTATTATATTCATCCTACAAATAAGAAAGTGATGCTCAAACCTGGCCAACATTAAACATTAAGTAAAGAGCACAGCAGGCAGTTAAACGCTCCAAGTCTTCTAAGACCACTGTTCATGTTATTACACAGTATAGCATTGCTGCCACTGCTGTAAAAGCTAGTGCCTGGTGAGCTGGTCTCCAGTAGGTATCCCCACAGAATAGGCATGGCTCTGAAAATGCACTGACAACACTCACAGAAGAGCCTGTGTGTCAGCTTTCATGGTTTGTGATTAACCTACCCATTTAGTGAAGTTAGTTGTAAGCTGTTTGTACTCTTTGTCCATAGGCAGGTGAGCTTTGTTTGTATATTAGAAAAATCCATGTTTGAACTTTTCCATTGTGACACTGAGTCTCACTGGACCAAGACAATGAACCTTGGGAAGTGGCTTTTCCTTTTTAACTTAGCAGGGTGAACTTGGCATTTGTTGGATCCAGCAATTTGATAGAAACTTTCTCTCTGGAATTCATTATTTTTGACGTCTCTCTGAAGGGATTTTTTTTTAATCTTTATTTTTGAAAGCATTACATATGTTCCCCCTTTTCCCTCCATTGACATCTTCTAGCCCACTCCCACTCTCCAGCCCAACCTTCACCACCCTATTATCTGTGTCCATGGGTTATGCATATATTCATGCAAGTTCTTTGGTTGATCTCTTCCCACCCAACCTTCCCTGCCTTCCCTCTAAGATTACACAGTCTCTGAAGGGGTTTCTTGATAACAGTTGATTCAAGGGATTTAAGAAAAGGTTGGAGATTTCTAGAGAGGTCCCAGTGATGACAGTGTCCTTCCATGAGTATGTATGTACATACTTTCTGTAAGAAAAACCTCAGGTTAAATCTTTTGTGTATGTGTGTTTTGTTTCATTTTTTATCCTCACGCAAGGATATTTTTCCATTGATTTTTAGAGAGAGTGGAAGATAGAGGGAAAAGGCAGAGAGAAATATCAGTGTGAGAGGAACACATCAATTGGCTGCCTCCTGCACACACCCCGACTGGGCTCAGGCTGAGGAGGAGCCTGCAACCGAGGTACATGCCCTTGACCAGAATCAAATCCATCCACAGGCCAATGCTCTGTCCACTGAGCCAAACTGGGTAGGGCCTTGTGCTAAATCTTTAAAGAAGATATAGGTCTCAGATTCTGAAATCTTCAGAAACAAAATGGAAGTGGGGTGTGTGTGTGTGTGTGTGTGTGACTACATTAGTGAGTTCTCAAATATCCTTTAAGAGACCTTTTCCTTTCTTCCTCTGCTTATTTACTAAGTCTCCAAACCTAAATGTCAGACCGTAGCTGTACTTCCAGCTGCCATCACCATCACCAGCCCCTGCACCAGCTGCACAGGCTTCTGCTATTGTGACTAGTTGGTGCCTTAAAGAGAGACCTAAGTTTTGTTTAGGTGCACTCCAGTTAATTGATCCTTTGTAGTTTAGTTTATGGTATAGCTTAGATTTCACAGAGTTAGAATGTGGTTCTCCTACTCTGAAAAACAGAGACTGAGCCAACAAAACTTTTATTTCTCAGTAAATCTGCAGGCAGGCAACTGTTCTTCCCATTATGTTTCTCATTTCTTCTCTAATACACATGAAGGGCACAGAGGAGTGTCTCAGGAAGAGTTTGATATTTGCATAATAAAACTGCACACAGTACATGTTTCAAAGGAAGGACATACATTTAATGCAAATATTTTTTTCAAATTTTGCTTTATCAGTGCTTTTTATAGTAAAAGGAATTAAAAAGCCATGTAGTCAGCACATTTTACCACACTTGTCGGTATTGCAGAAAAAACTCATAACCATAAACAATGTGATTTTACCAGATGCCCAGGACAGTACTGCATCAGCTTTGCGAATATAAGCTTCTAGAAAGCCAATTTTGGAATGTGGTATTAATTTTTAAAATGCTTTTATTGCCAAAACCGATTTGGCTCAGTGGATGGAGCGTCGGCCTGCGGACTGAAAGGTTCCAGGTTCGATTCCGGTCAAGGGCATGTACCTGGGTTGCGGGCACATCCCCAGTAGGAGATGTGCAGGAGGCAGCTAATCGATGTTTCTCTCTCATCGATGTTTCTGACTCTCTCTCTCCCTTCCTCTCTGTAAAAAATCAATAAAATATATTTTTTTTAAAAAATGCTTTTATTATACCATGGAATACTATGCAACAAACAAGAGGGATCTCTTACCCTTTGAGACAGCATGGAGGGACCTGGAGAATATTTTGCTAAGTGAAATAAACCAGTCAGAGAAAGACAAGTATCACATTATATCACTCATATGTGGAATCTAAAGAACAAAATAAGCTGATGAACAAAATAGATCCAGGGGCATAGAAGCATGGAACAGACTGGAATCTTAGATGGAAGGCAGGGGAGGGTGAGTAAGAAGACATTAACCAATGAATTTATATGAATACATGCATAACCGATGAACACAAAATAATTTTTTAAATGCCTTTTAGCCTGGCTGGTATGGCTCAGTGTTGTGTTGACCCATGCCCCAAGAAGTCACCGGTTCAATCCCCAGCAGGGGGGCAGCCAATCGATGCATCTGTATCGATGTTTTCTCCCCCTCTCCCTTCCTCTCTGAAATCAGTAAAAATGTTTTTTAAAATGCCTTTTAACAACCTAAATTCTGTGGTTAAAATTTTAACCACTAAAGTAGATTGATTTGAGCTTTCCTGATTTGTTTCGTGTGAAGCTTAAATTATTTTATTCTTAAAAGACCAGTAACTAAAGCAGATTACTGGTTTTCATTTAAGAACTAACCAGTTGCTGGCTCTTTAAATATTATGAGTAAGTTAGCAGCCTATACCTGTTTGGAACCTCGTTCTGACACATACTTTGCTCTGAAAGGAACATTCTTAATGCCTCATCTGCCATCATCTGTTTGAGGTTTTCTGTGTGTTCTATTTTTGTTTCTAGGATTACTAACAACATGGTGGTGGTTTCAGTATAACAACTTATTTCACCTTTCAGGCTCACTGCCAGGGAAAAACTATGGCAACTGCTTTAAGCACTGACGTATCCAAGTCCAAATACCATTTGACTTCTTACTTTGTGGAACCGTAAGCTGTTAGAGCTACTGGATTTTGGACCATGTAGTTCAGCTCCTCCATGACATAGATGAGGAGGCTAGGACCCAAGACACTGAGGAACTCACTTAGCTGTGGCAGCACCAAAACAAGAGCCTGGATCTGGAAAACGGTGCCCTGGCTTCCTAATTCTATTAATGGTGACAATTCTCCTAAATTGTTGCTAAGTATCATAAAAGATAGGTTTTTCTTTTTCAAAGCCTTTTGTGCCTGTTTTCTCTTTTCCTCTTATTACCATCAGCTTAACACAGGTCTTTATAATATACTACAGTAACCTGACTTACCAGGTTTCTACCTCTCTCTCCTCTAAGTCAATGGTTTTTCAACCTTGGCTGCACAGAAAAACACCTGGAGAGTTTTTAAAATCCGGATGCCAGGGCCACACCCAAGCCAATATAATCAGTCTTTGGCAGCAGATCCAGGCAAGAGTATTATAATCCCCCAAGTAATTCCAGTGTGCAGTCAGCAGTGAGAACTGCTGCACTGATCCAGTCCACTCCACAAGCTAAGGCAGAGCTATGCATACCCGCTGCTCAGAAACCCCAGTAGCTTTTAAGTGTCACTCTATTGTTTTTTGTTTTTTTTAAGAGAGAGCGAGCATGGAAGGAAAAAGGATAGATGGAAACATCAATGAGAGAGTAACATCAATTGGCTGCTTCCTGCATGCCACCTACTGGGGACCAAGCCCGCAACTGGGGCATGTGCCTCCACCAGGAATCGAACTGGTGACCTCTTGGTTCATGGTTAGACACTAAACCACTGAACACCACCAGTCGGGCCAAATGTCACTCAATTTAATACTAAAAGTAGAATGCCTAATTCCCACCCTCATCATAACCCAGTAATTCTGAAAATGTCAGCAGACACTAGAATCTATGAGAAATGCATGCTCCACCCACCTCTACTGAATTAAAAACTTGGGGTGATCCTGGTGCAATCAAAAGTTCGAGAACCATAAAAGAAGTCAGGAGATTTTACTACTTAGCAGTGGGCCATGGATAGAACAGAACATCAGAATGAGTACTGTGCACCCGCCCTGTCCCTGGGCATGGAAAATGGGTATCTTTCTTAGTTCTGCTTCTTTAATTGCTACAATTTACTGCTCCCCTACATGAACAAATCACCTTTTTGTTTTTCCCTACTGTTTCCTATTGTTACAAACTAGGATTAGAACATTTGATTCTGCCAGGAGCAATAAATAGATTTTTCTTTCTTTATGGTTAGTTCCCAGAAATGAATGCTTTGATAATGAGACGGTTCAGTTTGCCAGGAGATGTGGACAGAGCTCGACAATATGTACTACAGGTAAGATTATTCTAAAAAAAAAAAAAAAGGTATCAGCAGATACAATGTGGGAAAGTTCTTTTAACCAAACAAGTAACAACAACATTACATTTTAGAAACCAGACCAAGTTTGGTCCATTCTTTTTTTTTTTTTTTTTTAAATATATTTTATTGATTTTTCACAGAGAGGAAGGGAGAGAGATACAAAGTCAGAAGCATCGATGAGAGAGAAACATCGATCAGCTGCCTCCTGCACATCTCCCACTGGGGATGTGCCCGCAACCCAGGTACATGCGCCTGACTGGAATCGAACCCGGGACCTTTCAGTCCGCAGGCCGACGCTCTATCCACTGAGCCAAACCGGTTTCGGCGGTCCATTCTTGATTTGACAAAAACTCTTCAGAAGGAAAAACTTGTATAGTTCATTTTTCTTCCAGAATTCTTTCCAGTGATGCTAATTTAATTGGCCTTGGGAAGGGATTGGACGTTAACAGTTTTTGAAAGCTACCCAAGTGATTCTAATGTGTTGAGATCCATGGAACCAGTCTCCCCACACCCATCAGCAGCATGAAGATACTCCCAGTCACCAGACTTGCCTCCAACCTAGTCCAGGCACTCACATGGATAGAATATTATAGCAATCTACTCAAAATTGGCTTTTTCCTACTCTATCCTATATAACTGCCATAAATGTGTGGTTTAAGATATGTTAACTTAAAAAATTAAACACAGGCAAACTAAACTTCTTAACCTTCGGAGCTATAAGTTTATTTCAAATATATTGCCACATATACTCAGTGCTTTTCTGTTTAAGCTAGATCTTTCTGTATATTTTAAGTTTTGATGACTATATTTTAAGAATGAACTCTTTCTAATATCTAAATCTAAAGTCACTTGGAACCAATAGATCTAGTTAATGAGATAAGAGAGCAAACAGTTTTTAGTAAGCAAATAGGGTCTGAGAGCTATGAATAGTACAATACTTGGAAGAATTCCAAATAATTACCTTTTAGATTTTTTTTAATTTCCAAAAAGCAAAACTCCTCCAAAGGATATGTTTCTCTTTTAACTCTCCATACTGTTAAGCATCATAATCTGCTATGGGTTACCACCCTGTTGGAGGGTAGTTTGTCAGTACCAGTAAAAATTCAATATGAGAGGGGGCTATAGCTGACAAAAAAGTTCTGTGCCGGGAAAGGTTCTGGCTTCAGAAATAACGGTGTTACTGAAGGCTCAGAAGTGGGACTGACAACAAATTAATTGTAGTTCTTATTGTAAAACACTGTACAGCAAGCCTATGCATCAAAGCACCTAGAAAAAGAACCCACAGAACAAATTCTCCAATTTTAGCTCCCTTTCCACCCAGAGCTCCTAATCACTCACTATTCCCTCATTAAATATGAATGGATAACTAGTATTTAGTAGGATTACTAAATAACTGATTAAAGTTTGCTGAATGAAACAGACTAAGATAAACAAAGAAGAAAAATATAATTAAGGGGATTCAAAAAATAACTGCACTCATAAAACAAGAACAGGATATTGTCTTTAAACAATGGAAGAGAATGAGCTCTGAGAGATTTTAAATGACTGGAAACTAACTCCTAAGAAAAGTAGGAACATGGAATTGAGAAAATCTTCCAAGATGTAAAACAGCAAGGGAAGAAAATAAGAGAAGCTCCTAAGAGCATCAGCACAATCCTCTAATAAATACTAGCAGGCAGTGAACATGGCCTTCCAAATAAATGGTGATGAAACATTTTAAACCTACAATTCTGTATCTAGTCTAGTAATTCTGAATGCATGTCATTATCACACTTAAGGACTAAACAGCCGGCTTCCAATACCCATTTTCTGGGTAAGTTATTTGTGGGTGTATTTTAGCAAAAGTGTGAAAATCCCAAGAGAAAGACGTGAATACTAAAACCAGTGGGATGAACCCAAGCATTCAATAAAAAGTCATCCTGCAATGGTAATTGTACAAGAGCTAATAAATACATACTAGTATATATGTAACAAATAGAATGATTAAGGAATTAGAAATATTGGGAATTTGAGCTCCTTTCCCAAAAAGGAAGAAAAGGAGGCAATTACATGTAGAAGTGTGTTCTGTAGTACAGTAAGGCACAGCCAACTAAAATGTGTCAGTTTGTGTCAGTTGGTAGAGTATAGAAAATCAGAGGCCTTTCAACATGTGAGGAATATTCTACTCAGTGATAGAGGCATCATGAACTTGGAACCATGGAGAAGGAAATAAAATTGCTGACTTGATCATACAGTACCCATTTTTATATTACAGAAATGTAAGCTTTCGATAATGTAAATGTTCAGCTTTTAGAAAAAAACAAACATACATAGTTACAAAATAGAATGCAAACCTGTATGTAGTGTTAAGGTACAGTTAAAAGTGGAAAGAATGGGCCTGGCCAGTGGTTCACTGATTGAGCGTTGACCTATGAACCAGGTCATGGTTTGATTCCTGGTCAGAGCACATGCCTGAGTTGTGGGCTCCATCCCCAATTGCGGGGTGTGCAGGAGGCAGCTGATCAGTGATTCCTTCTCATCACTGATGTTTCTACTCGCCCTCTCCCTTCATCTCGGAAAGAATGGAAAGAATGGGAGCACTGGTTTCCTCATCTACACAAGATCAAGTCAGACAAGATAAAGATGGCAAAAGTAATCACCCTAACTGGTTTGGCTCAGTGGATAGAGCATCAGCCTGCTGACTCAAAGGTCCCAGATTCGATTCCGGTCAAGGGCATGTACCTTGGTTACGGGCACATCCCCAGTCGGGAGTGTGCAGGAGGAAGCTGATCGATGTTTCTCTCTCATTGATGTTTCTAACTCGCTAACCCTCTCCCTTCCTCTCTGTAAAAAATCAATAAAATATATTTTTAAAAATAAATAAATAAATAAATAAAAAGGCAAAAGTAACAACAGAAGAACTAAAGGCAGCAATATAAGGTGGAGGCAAATGTAGTTTTATAGTTGCTTTTATGGAAAATAATACAATAATTAATAAATAAAACAAACTTTCATGTACTCACTACTATAGACCTACTTTTGCCCCACCGTGTATAATCAAATTTGGGTCAAAGGACGTGTAGGTTAAATCCTCATCTTTATTAGCAGACAGGCAATAGATAATAACTAATGCTGATAATTAAATTTAAAAAACCAATGGATAAAAAAGCTGGTGCCTTTAGAAGAAGAGAACTCAGCTCTTGTGTACATTTTCATCATTGGCTCTTATGTATTTTTATTATGTACATGTTTTTTTAAACTTCCACTTAAGATTTTTTCATTTAAAAATTTATTGTATAGATATTTTATAACAACTTTTTAAAAAGTTCTAGTACTTAAAAATAGATGGCTAAGAGGCTGGTAGGAAGGGGGTAGGAATGGGAAATATCTGTAGTTCTATCAACAATAAAAATATATTTAAAAATGAAAAAAATAGATGGCTACTTGATATTAATGAGTTAGTTACTTTGTACACTAATAGAGTAAAAATTTGCTTTAATCAGAGAAAAGGGCCTAAAAGAACTAGGCAGGGGAAGCTGGAACTATAAGTTTAAGAAAGAATGTTAGAAACATAGTTTGGCTATTAACTAATCTAATCTCAAAATAGTTTTTAATTCATTATAATGAACTTAAGAGCCAATCCAGTAGGTAACACACATCTGTTCTGTTTCTTTCTGTATTTCATAGAGTGATGGTGTGCAGCAAACAACCTACCTCGCCCAGCGGTACTGCCATGAAGCAGTAAGAGAAATCAGTAAACTTCGACCATCCCCAGAAAGAGATGCCCTCATACAACTCTCGGAAACTGTACTCACAAGAGATAAATGACAAAGTCTTTCTGTTATTCCTGGCAGCTATTTTACCAGACTGTGCCTAAAGAATTTTGTGGAATATACTTTGCTTCATGTGCACATAACCAAAAATCATTTTAAAAAATCATTTCCACCTTAATGATGGGCAATTATTTTATTAGCAAAGTTTTTCAGAAAAGTTTTAAAATAATTAAATCATCTGAAACTGTTGTTTTAGCCCTGTAAATTCTAATCGAGGCATCTTGATGGTTATATGTGGTATTGTTTACACTGTTAATAGTCACATGTAAAGCCATTAAACAAATAAATAATCAATGTTAAAATTAAAATGGTTTATCTTGTTTCACCATAGGAGTAAATGTCAGAGAACTGTGAGGTTACATTTCAATCAGCATTAGATTTTAACAGCATCCAAAATTTCATGTAAGAGAATGGTTTATTATAAAAGACTGCACATAAAATTTAGATGAGTTATATACAAAATTAAGACAACATTCCACTTGGAAAAAATGAAATGTAAAATGTAGTAGCTTATCACTAGTGATACTGAAATCATGTTTAAAATTATCAAGACAAAATGCATATGCAACAGTCACATTGATTTGGTAGCAATGGTCTTTAACTCTCAGAAATAAATGGTTTGCACTAGTCTTACCATTTACTATGCTATTATAGTCTGTAACGCCCAGTACATAAACTGCAATTTGAAATCCAGAGAATTCCTCAATACACAGAAACCCACATTTGAGCGCTCTATTTTAATATCCTAGGCAATACAGAACTGTACACAAGATAAAACATCCTTCTAAACCTCAAATTAAGAGGAGACACACAAAGTGCATGTGTTGCATTTCAATTATGTCAAAAAGACAAAACAAATCTATTGCTCAGGTATGTCCCTGTTCACTGATTAATATATGACCCAGTTTTCCCCTAATTACCTTAAAAATCTTTTTGTGTTGCTAGTACCAGTTAATGAATAAAATAGTGCCTATTCAAAAATCAATTGCATCCACTTCTACAAAACAGTATGTAAAAGATACTTATAATTTCCTTTCATTGAACAACAGTCCACTGGAAAACGAGCACTAATAACAGCAATCCTTAAGAATTTTACCCACAGAAGTGAATAATTTTACACATTTTCTTAGCTCTGAAAAAAAAAATTACTTTAGAAAAGCAACTAAGTAGATTGACTTATAAATAACTTTCAGATTTTAAATCTTCAAAAATCCGTCACATTTGATTTTGGGACAGGTTGAGATAAGGCTGAAGTTCATATGCTGAGAAAATAGAACAATAATTCTGCAATAAATCAGTATCTTTTATTTATTTTTTTAAAAACAAATCAGTGAAGGAAAGGACAAAAACCTTTGGTTCACTTAAGTATTTGTGAGTGGAAAAAATTTATAATGCAAATTCACTCATTAAAAAACTTAGTTACAAATTACAACATTATAGATAACCCTTTTTTGTTTGTTTTATTTCACATGGAAACCTTAGAGACTCGATTCATTTCAAGAGACCTAAGTATGAGTACTCCAAGAAAATATCACACAAATTGGAAGCATCCTGGATTTTTAAGAAGTATATTTCAATAATTAATTTGTATGCATGCTTTAAACAAACAGTTATAGTTCAAGAATGAGAGAGTCTAAACAAAAGGTATGACCAGCACCAGCATTTAAGTTTCTGATTTTAATATTAGTCTGACATAGCATTAGTAACCATGCTGCACTGAAACATTAATGGTACAATCTGAATCATGATTTGTTAAATATTATACCCCAGATCCCCAGAATATTTAAGCTGGTCATAAAGTTAACATTGTGTAAGTAAGTATATAAGCATAAACAGTTATGGACAGCTCTTGTATAAATTGCTGTTGAGCAATACACAAACTGCCTCAAAGATTTATGCTTACAAGGTAGACGTTCAATTATACCAATAAAACAGCATGTCCGGAAAATATGGGCACATTTTAAGACAATTTTGTTAACCATTAATAGTCCCACAGTATGACTGAATAATAATAAGAACCTACTTTAAAAGCAAAAAATTTTAATCAGTATAGTGCATGATTGATTCAACATAGTTCCCAGGGAACAAACCAGTCACTCGATTGCAGACTCCTTCATACCAGCCATCATCATTCTTCTTTATTACATAAATGATTGCACCCTCCATAAATGACAGCTCATCATCCTTGTCTTTTGTATAATCATATATTGCCACAACTATGGAAAAAAGAGTTGAAATAACAAGTGAGTGCACTATATCCAACATAATGTGAATTTTAAAATGTAATGCCAATTAAATCTATAGTATAGCAAAACCAACTATTTTTATGAATATTCGTAACTCTTACATCTATAAATATAGGTAGACCAGTGGCTAACCATGTACCTAAATTAATAACTTGAGCTTGGGGCCAAACTGACTAATTGATTAGACTAGAGAAAACAATAGTTTCTACCAATCTATTTAGGGAAGATCTCTGAATTTTAAGGGTTGATTAGCCATTTCAATTCATTTGTTCAAATATCTACTAAGTGGCAACAGTATGCAAAACAATTTTTCAAAATAACAACTGGGCAGCAAAGCTGCATAACCAATCAGTAAACCAGCTATCTAATTTGAAAATATACATACCTGGAGATAAATCTCATCCTACTCATCCAAGGAAAATATTCATGTAACTTATGGGGCTATATTTAGAATATTTTTACAGAGCACTTTAAAGATCAACAGGATTTTTTAAGGGGAAATAACAGTAAAGATGCATTAAGACTGAGAGAACTATTTGCAATTCTGTAGTATCAGTGATTATTTTGAGTTCAAAATATTCACTTTGCACAGTGTCAGAAAAAAAAGGCATAAAAATTATTCTAGTTTTCTAACTACTGGTTGATAAGTTTAATTATTCCTTCATTCTGCCTTCATAGCATAATGATGCTCAAATTATATGTACTTTTCTAGTAAATGTGAAATGGTATGCGATATGGATTTTTTTCATTGATTTGCCTCGTGTAGTTTTTCTTAAAATACAGAGTTCTTAAGACGTTTAAGATGTTCTGGAACTTACTTTTTCACCAAAAAAGATGGTTAGTCCCCACAATTATTCTGAATTAGGGAATTATAAGAGGCTTGAAGTACTAATCGATATTATTTGCTAAATTAAAACAGGCAATCTTCTCTCCCCTTTCCGAAACACTGTATTAAGTAAACTCAACAAGTCCATTTTAATCCTGCAGCAGAATCATAGTATTGTGATTACAAGCTCACTGACATATAAAGTTGTCTTTAAAAACCCCCAAACATAAAGAATAAATAATATTAAATTATTATCCTGGTATTATTTTTATCTAAGAAGCCACCCAAAAGAATTGAGTGACTGTTAGATACAGTAAAGAAAATAATGTAATAATTTAAAAGTAAACTATTAATTAGTCAATTACTATTTATTATTTATGGTTTACCTTTGATAACATTAACTTCTTTGTATTCAGATTGATAATGAATTAAATTTTGAATGCTATAGACTTTTAAACTAATCATGACAAAGGCCCGTCATTCTCAAAGTCATTTGGCAGAATAAAAATGTTTCCTTTCACCCAGCCTTAGTGGTTGAACATCAACCCATGAACCTGGAGATCACAGTTCGATTTTTGGTCAGGACACATGGCCAGGTTGGGGCTTGATGCCCAGTGTGGGACATAGAGGAAGCAGCAGATCAATGATTCTCTCTCATCACTGAAGTTTTTTTTCTCTCTCTCTCTCTCCCTCTCTCTTCCTCTTTGAAATCAATAAAAATATATATTTTTTAAAAAATTGCAATGTCTATGGCTGTTTTGTGCTATAGCAGTGGCTAACAAAGATTTAAATATTTCATTTTGCAATATATACAAATAATGAATCACTACATTGTATACCTGAAACTAATATAATGTTATGTCAATTTAACCTCAATTTTTTAAAAAAGTTAAAAATATTGCCCTAGATAAGTAAAGACCTATACTTGCTACCTCTCACAACCACATCCAAATTATAAAGACAGAACAACTATCATCCAGAACGGCGGGAAAGCTGGCTGAGTGGAAGTTCTACAACTAGAGTGGTAAGAAGAAAGTGCATTGTGACTGGTAGGCGGTTTGGAGGCGCAGAACGGGCTGGCATCCAGGTGTGCTGCTTTTTTAATTGGAAGGGAGATACAAGCTCCTGCTTGTTCTGAACTCCAGTTCCAGGCAAGACTCTGGGAGACCCAGACACTTATGGGGAGAAACTGGACTATCTGGAATCAGGACAGAACGCGAGGGCGGGTTTCTTTCAAATGGAGATGCTCGCAGCAGCCACTGTTCCTACCCTGGGACCTCTCTGGTGTAGGGCTGATTGGCAGCCATTGCTGTTTGCTCTGCCATGGTGATTCCCTGAGAACCCGCCCCACCCAATTTACAATCCCAACAAAGCTGTGCCCAGTGGCTTTTGTATATGAATGGCCTGTCCTTTCTCAGCCTAAAACGTGTCAAACAGGCAGCAGCTGGGTCAGGTAGCCCCAAAGCAATCAATCCAGCAGCAGCAGCAGCCTGCCTTGCTACACAGCTGGGCCTTGTCTGGGAACTTCCAAACCCCATACAAAGAGGAGGAATCTGCAGATCTCTCTGTAGCTCCTGCAGGGCGGTCCCAGGCAATGGGTGACTTTGCACCTCCTTGGAGATCCAAGAGCCAGTGTACCCTGTGGTAAGTGTGAGACCATACCAGAATACAACTCTTCACATCCATAAGGGACACACTCAAAGGGCAGACTCAGTGAGCACCAAAGCCCCACTGAAGCAAGCCCTGCCCCACAAGGGTGTCTCCGGCACAGCAGCTCTTCCATTGTAGACACAGCTGGTCCTCACAGCCAATTGGCCTGGAGATCAATTCCTCCCAGTGATACCAACAGCAATCAGACTTAACTATAACAAGACTGTGCAAACATCCCACAAAGGGGTGCACCAAAAGTGTCCACCTCAGGTGACAGGGGAGACTGAGCCACTGGACCCTAGAGGACACCTACCACACAAGGCCACTCTATCAACTCAGGGAGACTCAGCAGCTACCCAATACATAGAAACAAACACAGGGAAGCAGCCAAAATGTGGAAACAAAGAAACATGTGACAAATGAAAGAAATAGATGAAAGCAAAATACTGGATATAGAGTTCAAAACCACAGTTATAAGGTTACTCAAGAATCTTCTAGAAACCTCCAAGGAACTTACTGAGACCTTCAAGGATCTTGGTGAGAATGCCCCAAAAATGGAAAAGAACCAGTCAGAAATTAAGCATAC